AGATAACGTACTTGCATAACGAGTTGCGCAGCATAACGAGTTGCGCACTTTTCTCCCATTTACAATCACCCAACTCAATCACTGTATTACTCCCACAACACACAATGGAACCTCTTCCAAAAGAGAGTCGTATTTTCCTTGCACTTGAAACTCTTGAAAAAGACCCAAAACTTTCCGTTCGAAAAGCTGCTACGATCTACGATATTCCCGAAAGCTCGCTCCGCTATTGACGAGCTGGAAAGCAACCACGCCACGAAATAGCCGCCAACCTTCGAAAACTGACCGACTTAGAGGAAAAGGTCCTTCTTGAGAGGGTACTGGACCTTGATGCGCGAGGATTTCAGCCCTGGCTCTCTGACGTCCAAGATATGGCCGATCGTCTTCACGTAGCACGCGACGCGTCACGCGTCGGACCCCGATGGGCGAACAACTTCGTGAACCGACACCCCGAGCTTACAACACGTTTTTGACGCCGGATCGACTACCAGAGAACCCAATGCGAAGATCCTGACGTGGTAAACGCGTGGTTTCGACTTGTACGAAATGTGATTGACAAGTACACGATCCAGGAAGGGGATATCTACAATTTCGACGAGACTGGGTTCCAGATGGGGATACTTTCGGCTGCAAAAGTCGTGACAAGCTCCGAACGCCGCGGTCGGCCTCGTATGAAGCAGCCTGGCAATCGGGAGTGGGTTACGGTGATCCAAGCCGTGTGTGCAGATGGCTGGGTCGTGCCGCCGTATTTCGTTGTCAAGGGGAAAAACCACCTCCTGCCCTGGTATCAGGACAGCCGATTCCAGCCCGAATGGAGAGTCCACACCAGTGAAAATGGCTGGACTACAAGTGAGATTGGTCTAGATTGGTTAAAATATTTTGATCATTCTACCAAGCGTCGTACAAGAGGGGTATATCGGCTACTTATCCTTGCCGGCCACGAAAGCCACCACTCGGTCGACTTTGAGGATTTCTGCAAGGCCAACAGCATTGTTACACTCTGCATGCCTCCCCATTCATCTCACTTCCTTCAGCCTCTCGATATAGGATGTTTCAGCCCGCTTAAGGCCGCGTATGGCAAGCAAATCGAGAAGATGATGCGGATGCGAATCACTCACATCTCGAAGGAAGACTTCTTTGACGCATTTGTCGAGGCATTCCATGCCTCAATCACAGCGAACAATATACGGGCGGGCTTTAGAGCAGCTGGCCTCGTCCCTTTCGACCCCGAATCTGTAGTTTCTCGCCTCGACCCTAAGCCCAACACCCCATCTCCTCCGAGCTCGCGCCCTGGAACAGCTACATCTTGGGTGCCCAAGACACCCTCCAACGCGCAGGAAGCAATCCTAAGCTCTAGCACACTCAAGCGGAAGATTGAAAACCATCAAGGTAGCTCTCCCACTCACATTTTCGACATTATCGACTTGCAAGCAAAGAGCATCTCGATGTTAGCCCATGAGCTGGTGTTGCTCCGAGCTGAGACCAAGGAGCTCCGTACGGCAAATGAGCGGCAAAGCAAGCGACGTAGGACCAAAAAAACACGTTTGCAAGATGGTGGATCACTTAGTCTACAAGAGGCGACAGTTTAATGGCCGAACAGGGATTTGGTGGTCAGGATTGTAAGGAAACGTCTGGGAGTAGTGGTTGTAGTACTGCGGCTACGCCACACGTTCGGCTCTGTAGCAACTGCAAGAAGCCCGGCCATAATGCACGAACTGGTCAGGTAGTTGCAAGGACGTCTGATGAAAGCGAGTCTGAGTAGTTTCAATTAATTAGAGGTATTGTGGTTGAATTGACTTATACAAAGCAATGCAGGTGCAAGAAAAGTGCGCAACTCGTTATGCTGCGCAACTCGTTATGCAAGTACGTTAGTAATTTAAATTGAATTAAGTACTCCTTTTCCTATATATAAAGATATAGCTCTTTAATTAGCTCTATTAGCAATATATATATATAAAAGTACTTAACTAGCTAGGACTCTAATAATAAGATATATATATAAGAAAGCGCTTAACTAGCTAAGGCTCTTGGGCTCTATTAGTAATAAGATATATATGTATAAGAAAGTACTTGACTAGCTAGGAATCTATTAGCAATTCTATTAGCGATATATATATAAGAAAGGGCCTAACTAGCTAAGGCTCTATTTGAACGGCTATAGGAATGACGGCGGTGGGCGGCAGGCGTTGGGAACGTTCGTTTAGCATCGTATTCGTAGCATCGTAGGAAGGATTCAAAGGAAGGAATTGAAGCCTAGGAAAACCTAGGAAAAAGGTTAGCAAAATTGATCAATTAAGTCGAATTGGGTATAAAACCTAATTGAATTGAAAGATATTTAAATGCCTTTAGTTGAATTGGAAATTGGAAGGTTCTGATTGAATTGAATTGGAATTGAATTGGATTGAGTCATTCCTTGCTTAACAGCTCATCAACGCCATTATCCCTTGATTCAAGATCGCTTTTCGCCAAATAACTCCTACGGCAGTCAACTTATTAACTTATGTTCAACGTCTCGGCTCCTCAATTTGATAGGATAATCGATTCGTTTCCTCGTTTTCTCGTTCCTGTAATCAATTCCCTATTACAATCATATAATCATCAACTCAAGACTAGTACACTAGGTCAAATTCCAACAAAAGGGATCCTTAACGCCGTGCTATGCCCCAAGATGCTGCATGGTCAAAGAATCGCCCTCCAAAGCCGCCAACGTGCCGCTTCCTCACCAGTCTGCGGCCCAGCCGTTCTCCTCGAGGAAGTCATTGCAGGCCTGCTTCAGGCCAAGGTTCGGTCTCAATTCGGATATGTACAAGGTTTCTCTCGTGAGAGGATCTTGGGGTTGCCGGCGCAGATGCTCGACAATGGCGGCGCGCTCGTAAGACTTGCCAGTTTTTGTCTGCCGGAGAAAATGTTAGAAAAGGTTTATCGCGGCTGAGCAGAACATGTACTTGTTTTCAGGAGCAGAGCGTCAAAACCTACAATAACCGGGTCAACCATGACCTCGAAGGTAATGTCATCAATGGCCCAGTCGGGAACCTTGCGGCGTTTCTCCTTGCCTGACCTCGCCCTCTCAAACACATCCCGCATCTGCTCAATCTTCTGGTCCCATTCGGCTTCAATCTCTTTCCTGCTGCCCTCGTCGAGATCGGCGGCGTCCCGAATGGCCTGGTCCCGCTCACGCTGGAGGAGCTCGAGCACCTCGACCTGCAACCCGGACGTCTCCCGTAACCTCCGCTTCTCCATGTCATCCCATCGTTCCTTCTTGCACTTGAGCACGTGGGCTGTGATGGTGGCCAGGCTCTTGTCCATGGACTGCGCGCAGAGTTTGTGGGCTTTCAGGGCATGCTCCAGGGCGTCGTCGTAGGCGTGCAGCGCAAGATGCGCCTGCGAGAGCGAGTAGTGCGCCTTCATGCTGTCGGGCGACAGCTTCAGGCATTCGTTGCAGTCTGCGATGGCGTCGTCCCATTGTGACAGTTTAAGCCGGGCCATGGCGCGGTTGGTGTAGAGGGCTGGGTTGTTTGGGTCGACAATGAGGCTGTGGCGGGACCATGTTAGCCAGGCAAACGGGCCGCTGGCCGTTCTTGCTTCTGTTTGCAAGGCGCACAGCTTACGCATTCGAGTAGAGGGCCTCGGCCATCACGTAGTCGCCGGCCTGAAAGCGGCGGTTGCCCTCCTCTTTGAGTTGCACCGATTTGGACATGGCGCAAGGTCGTCACGGCATTATTTGGGGAACCGTTTGCTACTGTAAGATCAAAGACGCAGATTGCCTTCGCGCAAGAGTGCTGCTGGTTGCAGGGATGGCGCTGAGATCGCGGTAAGGGACGAGCCTTTGGAAGGAAGGTACTGGCGATGAATGCAAGCTTGAAAGTTGGGAGGTCGATTTGAGTGCCTTTAATATAGCGAGTCAAGCTTGACCTAGGCCCAGCCTGGGCAAGCAATGCAGTCGAATTTCTTGGACAGAGCAATTGAGGTGCTGGGAATCGGCCAATGTTTCCAAGGGGTGTCAGGATGTTTAATCGCGAGCTTTTTGGTGGGGTTCAATGCGAGCAGTAGCACTTCGCTGCGCACCTCTCCGACGGCTGCGGCGGGGACAAGATCATTGGTCCGATTTGTCAAGTGGGAAGATTCTAGAAGCCGGGCCGGTTCAATCTGAGTTGCCGGCCGCCACCGGTCTGCCGAAGTTACGGAAACAGGTGTTGCTGTGGGGAAAGTTGGGCCCGCTTTTTACACTTGCAGTGGGGCCACTCCGCACTCCGATCCCGAACCCCTTTCCCTTTTGAGGGTCCAACTTACCATCATTGCCGTCACGGTCTGCCCACACCAACCACTTCACGATCTCATCTCATCTCATCTCAGACGCGGCTCCAGATGCACCAAACCTGGTGCCGAATACTAGGCTCAACGCTGTCAATTCAGTCCAATTACATACGTACCTTGCCGTCATGTCGGTAGACTTGCAGAGCCGCTGTTGCGAACCCCTCAAAATCTCCTGCTGTTGGATGTTGGTGTTGGTGATGCGCTACAGATAGCGTTCAGCCAATCCTGCATAGCGCAAAGCGGCCCAGCAACACTTTCGCATGCGAGGCAGGAGCCAACCACCCGACGATAGCAGGTAGCTCAGGGCGGCGCCTTCCTGTAATCAAGACACACAGGCGATTTAGCAAACTCCAAGAAAGTCATTTCTGTACCGAATTTGAACTCTCCAGCTACACCGTCTCGTCTACAGACATGGACACCTTTCGCCCCACACAAGAAAACTCAGGGGACATCGTGAGCAAATTCTCAATGGCCGGCAGGGGTCCCGACATTGCCTTGCTCAGTCGCACTTCCAACCCGCAACTCACCTCGTTATTCTTCACGCGCCTCCCCATCGAAATCCGCAATCTCATCTATCTCGAGTTTTGGAATCTCTCCTCGTCGCGGTTACACATACACGCGGAGGAAGTCCAGCTTCCACGCACTGTTGTGCCCAGCGTGGACCCAAGGAGTCGCAGGCTGCGATGGTCCCACACGCGGTGCATTGCCGATCCACGTGCGCCTGACGCCCGCATCGACGGGTGCTCCCGTGCTAGGTACGGATCGGACGAACACGCGTTGTGGACGGCCCGCGTAAGGAGCGAGTGTGGCTTTCACTGGCCGTGTCAGGAGGCAAGAGACCGGAAAGAGGCACTGGCTCTGCCGGAAAAAGGAAGTTCAGGAAATCGAAATGTTCCCAACCAGGAGTTGTCCGAGTTGAGGGTCCTAGGAGGAGCGTTTTCCTTGATGTCTTGAGGACGTGCAAGCGGATGTAAGTCCCGCTATCTAACCAGAGCCTAGCCTTGACCCGAGAAGGGTATTGATTCTTAGGGCAGGTACCTCGAATGCCTGCCATCGATTTACAGCAACACCACATTTGTCTTCACCAACGAGCGAGAGGCGGTAGCCTTCCTGTTGGCCTACGGGCAGGACGATGACCGCTACCCGCTCCGCTCCTTAGAGCTCTGCGTTCGTGTGAGCAGTTTTGTCGGCTGGATTTACGCCTCAGAGCCTGAGGACGAGGTGCAGCCGCCACCTCACCTCTGTGCCGGCCCAGGTGGTCCGGGCGTCTCCATCAAGTCCAACTCGTGGCATCATGTGTGCGACCTGTTAGCAAAGCTACCGATCCTCCGCTCCTTGCACGTGTGGGTGGACGCTGATGACTCACGACCATGGCACCGCCGCACCAGAGAGACACGCTTCTTCAAAAGGCTATTTGACGTCCGCGTTGCAAACGGGGGGTCACTTCGTTTTGGCGCTGCCGGAGCTCCCTGCGGACCCTGAAGAGCGCAAAGCATGGGAGCCATACTACTTGGAAGCAGAAAAGATCAAAGACGCTCCGTTCGTCGTGGAGAGGGGCCCAAGACCGGCCTATTGGGACTCCCTGGGCTACTCTGATGATGAGATTGAGGACGACCTCGACTACCTCCCCATTATGGTTGGCTGTACCGGCTGTTATAAGCGTTTCAACTAGAGATATCGCTTTAATGGGCGGTGTGACAGGTAGAAAGGGGTTTTGGCCTTGAGAGACATTAGAACAACTGGACCGTTTCACGTTTTATATGGCGTAGTAGGAGGCGTACAGTCTATTGAGTCAGGGGAACCACATGCGTGCACACTCCAACGGTTTTTTGATGGCTTTTTCTCAGGCATTCCTGAGCCCCATTTCCCATGTTCCTCAGGGTCGATGTCCAAGTAAATAGGTACAGACCATATATCGGACTCCAGTTCTGAGTTTAGGCGTCTCAGACATGGAAGCAAGCTCCTTGTCTCCTAGTTCATAGTACCGTTCGTCAATGCTACAGCAGCCACAACAGTCGTACCATCCCATCCGGCAACATTCCAGCATGGTGAAAACATTATCCAAATGGACAATTGGGAACCAAAACATGAGAAAAAAAACCCACCAACCCCAGGCCCACCGTTCCCCAACCAAGCTTTCCTTCCGTACACCGTGAATATCGCGGGAAACGGCAAATGGCACACGAATGGAACCAGCAATTCATCGCAATCTAGCGACGAGACATCTCGAAATCGCATCCCATCAAACAGATGGGGCTTGCCGTACAGCACCGCCTCCGTACAAACTTCCAAGTGTTATCCAAGCCGAACAAGTACCATTTCTCCCTCACCCAATCCAAAAAAAGAAAAACACCGAATTCCCGCTCACTCGCCCCTAAACGCCATCCGATCCGATCCGATACACATTACACCAGAACACAACGCCCAGCATAACCGCAGCTCCTTTTCCCAACACGAAACACCGGCACACTCGGAATATGTTCCTTAATAGGCCTGTCCCGGCATGCCCTGTGACGGGTGATTGTCGTACTCGCTATCGTACCCATCGCTATCGCCATGGCCATGGCCATGGCCATAGCCATAACCACGGTACTGCCCCTGACCCTGACCCTGACCTTGTCGGTGTCCCTGTACTTGACTGGGAGCGGGTGGAGCGGGAACAGCTCTTCTTCCTCCGCCGGTGTTGTACGACGGCATGCCCTGGCCCGGCCGGTACCGCCCTCCATTGCCACCGCCGCCGCCGGCGGCGGCGTTGTTGCCGGAGTTCATGCCGGGTCCTAGCGGACCACCCAGGGAATGTGGCCGGAAAAATCTCCCGCTGCTGGCGCTGCTGCTTTGCTGGCGATGATGCTGATACGAGGGGTTGACGGGCGGTCCGAAACGGAAGCTACTCCCGCTGCCGGCGGCGCCCGTGTGCGCGGGGCGAGGCTTGACCGGTCGGGTGGACAGACATGTCCGCGGGACGACGCCCTGCTCGGAGCGGTCAAGGCGGATGCAGAGGGCCTGAAATAACATGTTACTTTGGGCAAGGAGAGATGCTTGAAAGGAGAGGCGCGATAAAGGAGGCAACGTACCCAACCGTCGTCATACTGATGCAACAGCCTCACGAGTTGTCCAGCTTTTACTTCCAACTCGTCTTCCAGCATCGGCTTGAAGTCGAGCTGGACACGGTGGACTGTTGAGTGGGATGGACCGCCTGCTGCGGCGATGGCGGCTGCGCTGGCCGAGGGGCCGGGGGCCTGGCCTGGCGCCATCGAGTGCATGCTATATTCGGTGGCGGCGGGACTGGGCGGAACGTATAGGGGAGACGGGGGCTTGGTTAGATCGAGCGGTTTGGGCAGGTCCTTGCGCATGGATGCCTTCCTGGTCAGGGTGGCGGCGGTATCGGCTTCGTCATCTTCGATGGGCGATACGGGTTCCGAGTGCGCGTCAGTCGCAGTTGGGGCGCGAGGCCGGTTCTCAAAAGAGCCCATCGAGCTGATTGGGCTGACAGGCTCATTGTTATGGACACGCTGCGTGTCATTGAACGGGTCGTTCGGATAGAGGCTGCTGGTGCTTGTGCCTGGTCGGTCTCCGTGAGGGCTAGGCGCGTTCAGGGTTGAGTTCAACGTCAGGCGCTCCCAAGCGCTGCCTCCAGCCGGGGGGTTCAAGGGTGACATGGAGGCCGTCGGGGATGCTGAAACAGGATTGAGAGTCAACGGGATGCCACAATTGGCGCCCCTTTCGGCCTGATTAGTTGTGTTGAGGGCTGGGAAGAATTGGGTGATGGGTCTGAGGCTGAGTCTCGGTGCCGTGGTCGGGCTTCGGATCGCTGCGGCATCGGTGAACGGTCCGTGGATCTTTTCGTCGGCCTCGATCTGCTGTCTCTGCCTCTCAAGCTTCTTCCTCCGCATGCTGAAGAGGAGCCACACCAGCACAAACACGACTAGGACGCCTCCGAGGGCACCAATTGCGATGCCGGCCTTCACGGCCACGTTCATTTCCCCATCGCCGCCCTCAGCGTCCGTCCCCGCGGTAGCTGTCGAATGTGCCGCGCCTGTCTGGGTTTGTCCGATATTTTGGCTGGAAACTGTTGTGCTTGTGGTCGGGGATGTCGTCGGGGCGAGGGCAAGGGATTCGATCGTGGTAATAGGAAGCGAGGCTGTTGGGTTAGGGATTTCTGTGGGCAACACCTCAGTTGGTGTGCTTGTCTCCTCGGCCCTTTTGACATCACCAGGTGCCAGTGGGGCACTTGGGGAGGCTGCCGGTATCAATCGCTGCATCGGGATTTTCGACGACGTTGCTGCCATAGCCTTTGCCCGTCCCGGGACGATAGCCTTCTCAGCAGCCGGGGCCACCTCCTCCCACGATTCCCTTGCTGCCACGGCTCCTCTTCGTGCGACGTAGAAGCGCACCATTGTGGCGCTCAATGAGTTAGGACCACGATCAATCTCGGTCCTCCCGTCACAGGATATCAACTTCTGTAAATACCAGTCCTTGCCGTCCAGAAACTTTTCCCAAGTGTATACTGAGTGCCAGCTGTACTGTACTTCAGGGAGGTGGTGACTCTGTCCTGGGGATGGGAAGATACGAAGGAGCGGATCGCGGGCAAAGTGTCTGCGCGAAGACAAGGGATTGAGCGGATCGAGCCCGAAGGAGGGAAAATACAGTTGGTCCTGCTGAATTGAGGAAAGGAACGACGGTATCTCAATTTCGGCCAGTCATCGTCACCAAGCAAGTCGCCCGACGACACTGAAAAATGCCTGGGAGCGTCTGAGAGCAGCTGTGGTGTTGAGGTGAGAAAGAGCCGACAACACTCGTGTATGGAGGCGTTGGCTGGCCCTCCGGACGGATATTGTTTCCGGTTCCCTGCTGGCTCTGCTCTATGTTGGATTGGGCAAAAGGGGGGGGGGCAAACGGGGAAGAGGTGGAGAGGGTCTGGGAACACAAAGCACCCGAGCTCTGCAAAAAACAGCCGACCCGAAAACCAGCAAACTGGAGTCCAGGGATCAGCGCTCAGTTGATATTGCTAGGCAGCGATCCTTCCCTTCCAGGTTGCTGACAGGGTTGGACTGAAGTGATGCTGTGCCGCTATGCAGTGACGGGATTCCGTGGTCTACAGAAAATTGAGATGTCTGTTGGCTCACTTTCACCCCGTCGAGAGCCTCTGCCGTCCATCTCAATTCATCACCGCAAAGAGAGACCATTGTTGCAGGATCACAATCCGATGGCTCAAAGGTCTGTTCCGTCATGTCAATGTGGCTTTCGAAAAGAATCCGCACTGACCGATGGCTGGTCTCTGACTTGTTTTCTCGCGCATGGGCCCGTTTCAACGTCCATTTCAGGGACACGAAGCCGCTGATTGGTCGATTGGAAGATCGGCCAGCAAGCGAGATTGCTGGCCCGGATGTCATTGGCCAAGCCGTTCAGGGATCTGGACGGACGACGGGATGACGGACAGCACTTTCGTTGGCTCGGCTCGTCTCCGCCTCGTCCACTGCAGGTTGGTTCGTTCCGCGTTGGCTCCACGAAATTCTCACCCTGCTGTGAGACTGGAGCTCTTCACCGCCGTCGTCGTGATCTTGTGGAATGAGAAAATGGCATGGCTTCTGGAACTTCCCTCGCATCTTAATCCGCAGGGTCAACCTTTCATCGCATTCTCTGTCCCTACGGAAGAGTTGAAGTACAGTAGCTGCTGCTATCCTTTTTAATTACTCGTCAATATCACATTCATCTGATGCCGATGGCCTTTGTTTGGAAGGTGGGGGTTGCGCACTGTGATGTGTGCGTGACAGCAAACCATTTCTGGGGTGGCTGAGTCAACTGGCCATATTGGCTGATGGAATTGACTCTGATGAGATTGTTGTTTGCTGAAGAATTACAGTCCGTAACTCGTACCTCTTAACATTTATTGAATTTTGCAGGTTCTATTCTAGGGCTTTTAATATGTAGCCTTCCAAAGACAGAAGATCTACCCTCCTAAAGCACTGTGCAACAACTCCGATCACATGTGGCCTGCTACGCCGTGGACATCATCCGCATAGGTACGGATATATCAGCGGTATTCATCCATGGGCAATTTCTGACAGAGACGCGTCCGGAGGGAGATTTCAGAGAAGATCGTCGCGGACAGTGATGCGGGCCACACGATCTGCAAAGCGAAGAATTGGGACGAGCTCAGCCATGGCTTCAACATGAAACAAACGGCCCACCTCGGCACGTGTGCTGCCAACCGGATTCTTTCCCTCTGCCCTTCATTCCCGCCCGTTGAAGGTGGGCCTTCCTGTGTACAAATACCTCATTCGTGAATCGTGAACAACGACCAATTGCCATGATATAGGTAATTATCAGTCCGTCAAAAATTGACGTCCCTACATCGACAAAAAGCGCGTAACATGTCAATCACTCTATACGAGTCTCATCGATTTGTTCAATGATAACAAAGTGTTGCGGTGTATAATATCCATCACTAAATCTTATTCGGATCGATCCTCCACACGACGCAATTGTTCTCGACGATGCCGCCCTGCTTGGCGTCGACGCCGGCGCAGTTGCAGCTGTCGACGGGCACCTTGAGGTAGCGCTCGCAGTCGGCGCGGCTAATGTCCCAGGTGCAGCCCTTGCGGATGGTGAAGTTGATGTCGACCATGACGCGCGAGATCCAGGCGCCGGTCGAGGCCTGGTAGATGGAGCGGCCCAACGAGAGATCCTGCGTGATGAGCTCGTCGTCGTTCCACGACGCGTACACCGCCACGTCGTCGCAAAACTCGGCGATCGCATTGTCCAGCTGCTGGTGCGTCGCCCGCTGCCCGCCGTCGTAGCAGTCGACCGCGTTCTGCCTCGGGTCGTCCACCACCCGGGGTGAGGGTGAGGGTGAAGGAGCGACGGTGGGCTTGATGCTGGTTTTTGTGGCCGCCGAGGTGGTTCTGGTGCTGGTGGTCTCGGCGGCGGGGCAGGTGATGCTGGCGTCGGCCCAGTCCTCGTCGAAATCATCGCCCCCGTCGCTGCTGTCGCCGTAGTAGAGTGGGTTTGTGAGGCATTTGTCGTCGTAGAAGGCGCATTCCTCGACGACGGGCGTGTAAGTCGAACCGTATCTGGGGCGGATCGCCCGCGAGGGCCAGCTCCCCGTCGGTGGGGGAGCTGCAGCAGCATCGATGGCGGAAGGCGGGGTGGGGAAGGCCACGGTCGGTGCGATGGTGGTTGGTGACCCGTTGGGACCCGTGTAGACGACAGCGGGCCAGCGCGATGTGGTGGCGGGAATGGGCCAGAAGTCGCTGAACCCCTGGGCGCGTTTGTTCTTGTTGCCAGGTGCTTGGGTCAAGGTGACTTCCTCGAACATCCATTCCGAGATGGTCAGAGGCGCCTTTGTGATGGTGCTGGTCCAGGTTCCGTCGCTCACCGTGAGCAGGGGATAATTGACGGTGCTCATGGCGCGGGTCCAAGGGGGGATCTTGACATGGCAAGGGTCGGAACAGGTGAATTCGGGCTGCTCCATGTCCCAGATGGCCGGGTCAATCCACACCAGGTCGTTGAACTGGGCGCCGTTGCTGCTGACATCGAGCACCGAGACCTGCGACCAGAAAGGGTGCGAGTCCACGTTGAGATTGTCGACGGCCGGGATGCCTTGGCCGTTCATGACGGCCATGTACTTGGCACCGATGGTGACAAGGTGCTGAATGCGCACGCTGGCCGAGTTGTCGTCGAGGAGGACAAGCGCCTTTTGGCAGAGCTGTGAACCGATGCACTCTTGGGTGTAGGTCGAGAACCACGAGTAAAGGCCGGCACCGGCGATGGCTATGTTCTCCGACTGCCGGATCATGACGGCCCACGACTGATCGCATCCGCTGAACTCGTCGCCCGGGCTGCACGTGTAATCGGGGTCACCGGGCAACACGCCAACGGCGTCGGTGAAAGGAGCGGGCGGCGGCGGGGTTGGCTGGAAATACGGCGACTCGGTCTGGATCATGCCAGCGAAGATGTTGCGCGCCTTGTGGAAATTGTACTGGTAGTAAACAGCGTGCTCAGACGAGGTCCCGTAGAGCCTGTTGACACACACATTGGCTCTGGTGTTAGTGGGTGGGCTCCATCCAAGTTGTTATACTGCATGTGTACAACGCTGAAAATTCAGGGGTAAAGAATGCTTCAGCTTCGTTAAGGTACTTACCAAGTGGCATGTGTACTCTCGACCAGCAAACCACGAGCGGCGTAGACAGAATTTTGTATCATGGTGTTGTTGGCGTCCACGAGATCGGGGTCGCTGGAAACAAGAAAACAAAACGGCCTGGTCAGCGCAATCCTCGACAATATAAAGGGTTACAGCAAATCAAGGGGCTATAGGTACGCACTCAATGTCATGGTCAGCCACCCAAAGCCACATGTTTTCAAAGTAGCCCGAGGCTGACGGCGTGATGTGCATCATCAGACTGGCGGCATTGCACCCTTGATTGACGCCGCTAGTCAGGGCAGGGCACTCGTCGGGCGTCAGCTCGGTTCCTGTGGCGCCTCCGATGCGGACGTGGCAGTCCCATAGCGCCGCCGACCCAGGGACCGTGGCCTTGATGTTCCATTCTATCAGGATAGCACCGGCGGTCGGTCCACGCGTCGTGATGATCAGGTCTTGCATCTCGACGTCGCCGATCTGACCGGGCAGTCCCACCCGCAGCAGGACCTTGGGGTTCTTGGCGTCCTGGAAGTAGGGTCCTGCGGCAACGAGCTGCGACCACGTCTCCCCGACGATCCGGGACCCGGTTGGCACGGTCACGGTCGACGTCAGGACGTACGAGCCGGCGTCAACAAAGAGGATCTTGCCCTGGCTCGCGTACAGGGCCTGCTGGAACGCGGCCGTGTCGTCGGTGGTTCCATCGCCCGTGGCCCCAAAGTCGCGCATGTGGACAAAGTCGCCAACCGAGGCACTCTCGTACTGCGGCTTGGGCCGCTCATAGTAGGCCCCGTTGTCGTTGGTCAGCGTCAGGGACCGGCGGTAGTTGCCAACCTTGCCGCCCGCCGAGAAGCTGCGGGCGTCGACCGAGCCCTCGTACACAGGGCCCAGCGCCCAGTGCTCTATCCTGCTCGTGCCGCCCGCCAGCAGTACGGCACCGCTGGTATCGGCGACGGCAGCCTTGCTGACGCCCGAGAGCGCCACGTTCTCGAGCGCGAGGCCGGTGGTGCCGGTAGCCGGGGTCGAGGACGGCGGCGTGATCTGGACGACGGTGCCGACGTTGGTGAAGGACGAGTCCAGGAACATGGCGGACCCAATGTTGCCGCTGCTTCCCTCAGGGACCAGCTTGAAGCCCGTGCCGACGTTGGTCATGGTGATGGACTTCCACACCCACCCCCAGTCCCAGATGACGTGCACGCCAACGGTGCAGCCGCTGAAGCGCAGGCGCTGGGCTGTGAACTGCTGGATGCCGCCCCAGATGCCAAAGGCGCCACCCGTAAAGGTGACGTCCGAGATCTGGCCACCGCTGCCGTTCTCGGCGAACATGCCCGTCTGCGTCGGCCCGGCGATGAGCTCGACGTTCTGCAGGCTGGTGGCCTGGGCGATCTGGTAGTGGAGACAGGCAATGTTCTTGTCGGGCGCCGTACCGCGCACGTCGATGACAATGTTGCGGATCTGGCGGTAAAAGTTGGCCGTGTTGACGTAGTACTGCTGGTCCAGTCCGTCGGGCCCCGTCCCGCCGCCCGTGTACTCGTTGGTCGACAGCACGCCGAGGCCAACAAAGCCGGGCGCGGCCAGGAGCAGCGGCCTGTTGTTGGCGTCGCCAATGACCTGGGTCCCGAACGGCAGGGGGATGGTGGTCGAGATGAGGTAGGTTCCGGGGGGGAAATACACAATGGCGTTCTTGGTGGTCGAGCCGTTGCACTTTTCGCCGCACCGCTTCCCGTCGTTCATGGCCCGCTTGATTGCCGCCGTGTCGTCGGTGACGCCGTTGCCCGTCGCGCCGTAGTCGCGGACGTTGCGGAAGACGGCGTAGGTTGAGTCGTCGCCCCAGGGGACGATGCCCTTGCGGGCAATGTTCTGCATCCAGTAGGTGCCCGTGGGAGCCTGACGCTTGGTCACTCTGCTGTAAGTGCTGTTCCATGTCCCTGCTGCTACTGCGGCACTGGCGTCGGCTTCGGCCACGAGCGCCGCGGCCTGGGCGATCTCGTCGGTGATTTCCAAGAGCGGTGGAGGCATGTCCTGTGCTCCCTCGTCCGCCCTTGCTGCTTGAAGGCCGCGGCGGCGCTCGACGGCAGTCTGTCCCACAATTGTGCCGGGCTTCAGTCGGTACCTGTTGCGCAGCGGGTTCTCAAACCGTGCCTTGTTGCGCTTTGCCGACTCGGCAATCGCCTGCTTGACGATGCTCCGCGCTTTCTCAATGTCGGTCTCGGACGCCTTGTTGAGAAGAGGCGTGACGGGGCCAGAACTTTCAGGACCGGGCTGAGAAGTTGAACTTGAAGCGCGCCTCCAAGTCTCGTCCCCCTCAAGGTCCTTGCTGGGCTTCCGCTTCATGTTATCGGCCATCGCATAACCTTGGGTGGCCGCCCCCCCTTCATGGCCCGACAGCCAACGGGGTGCTGGCCTCGTGTCGGCCATGATGTCCATGTTCATGTTGATGCCAAGCACATGCAGCACAGGCATGGCAGCTTCCGTGTCCGAGTCATTGGCATGAACGGCAACCCGGGTCCCCTGGCCCGACTCGACGAGCGCCAGGAGCTTCTTGTACAGCACTCCCGATTGCCAGTCGGGCAAGGGACTCGGAGCATCTGCCATGTGCGTTGAGTTGGTGTCCATGTCCCGTTTCGCCTGCGAGACTGACGCGCCGTCCAAGCGCACATCCAATGAATCTTCGTTGTCATAGGCGAGAACCGCTGCTGGCTGGCCGTCGGCCTGTCCTTGGTCGAAAATGAATTTAAACAAAATGACACTTTGGCTGGCGTCATAGAAGGGGAAGTCGTCTTCCCGGCGCTTGACCATCTTCCTGAGCACTGTCCTTAGTTTGCTGTGAGCCTCGGCTTGCCAGTTCTGCTCGGCCTTGGTGTTCTTTTCACAACGGAAGCCGGCGCAGCGGGTTTCCGAGGGCGTGTTTTTGTCGAGGCCGCTGCCGCCCTCAACCCAAGTGGCTGGCGGGAACTCATCGCACGTGTAGATGAGTCTGGACCTCTCAATGATATTGCCCTGGCTGTCCCGCCTGTGCTTGAGTTCGTTTTAATTGGTGTTGGGTTCAAGCTCGGTGAAATCCCAAGGGCCGTCGTTGCGCCACACGGTTTTCTGGTCGAACTCGGGACAAGCATGATTGTTCTTCCACGTCCCAGGGCACGACTGCTCACGGCGATTGTGGTTGCGAAAGTTTGAATTCTTGCCGCTGTTGAGGTCGTAGCCGAAGATTGGGGCACTGCCGAGATCCAGCCCGCTCCTGTGCATCTTTTGGCCTCGCGGAGAGCCCAAGAACTTGCGGGCGTTGCTGCAGATGTTGGTCATGTAGTAACAGTTGTAGTACAGGTAGACAACTTGCGGCGTGAGTTCAATCACCCGCCGACGAGTTTCTCCCACGGTAGCGCGGCTGCACAGCGCTTGGTCAGCGCTCCACGTCGATACCTTCAGGTAAGGTAGGTTCCCGGTTGACAACCTGAAATGCGAGATCAAACCACATATAGATTATGGACACATACTAGTAGTACTCCGTGGTAAAGCCGCCCTGGCCGTCGGGAATGAGGGTCCACTCATAGTCCTGGTAGTACTGCGAGGCCACGAGCCCGTGTCGACTCGCGTGGAGAGCAAAGAATACGAGCAGGCACGCAACGAACTGAAATCGTAACGACGCCATTCCACACAGAGAGTTGGCGAGGAGCCAAAAGAGGGCGGCCCAGAGGTGCGGCAGATTGCCAACAATAACATGGTGCCCCTTTTCGGGCTCGCAGCACAGGCGAAGCCAGACCTGATATATGTATGTGCTTGTACAATGTACATACTTGTACATACCTAAGGTACCTTAGACACCACGGCAGGGCACGGGCAAGCATTACAGCCCTGGCTGCAGCTATTTTCATTCACGCCGTAACGTTACCAACGCCGAGCACATCCGAAGATAGGGGTCAGCATGGCGGGCGAACGGGCCGAACGGCTCCACTCGCCCTGACGCCGGGCTGATTAACCGATGGTACCTTTCCATGGCCGATCTTCCGGCGAAGATATTCGGTGTCATCGGTGATGGGGGTCAACACGGCTGGCCAGGCACCTGTTCTCCCGAACCAACAGCCCGATGGTACCTGCAGGGTCGCCCGGGAACCAACAGCATATGTTGGCTGCAGCACTACTACACTGGCCCTTTTGGCTGGCCAATATTACTACATAAAACTCCGAACCAGGCAAGAGCCTCGCCGGCTATCCGTATTATCCTGTCATGCTGCTTGCACATGAGTCTCACTCAACCGCCAAAAACCACCTACATCTAGACTGGTCGTTGCCTCGTTGGCTCGCAAGCCGGCAACTCAACCCGTATCGCCCGAGTCGCTCCCAACACCGGTTGCATCGTGATCAAATTTCAAACTACCCCAGTTAAATGAGTCAATGCTAATGAACCGCACGGCGAAACTATGTGGCCGCAGCGGACCCCCTTTTCCTTGTTGCTTCTCCGCGGTCGAGCGTAAACTAGTACTCCGTACCTTGTGCTCTTTAACTACTGGAATTCCAGACTCGGGTTCTGGTGAAATTGGTCGTCATGTCGACAAGTCAGCCATCTGCAAAGATGTTTCTTGTTCAAGTGCTCCCTCTTGCGGTTTCTCTGCTCTTCACGCAGCCTCTCGGTGTCCTTGCCAACGACTGCCAGCCCATAACATGGACAAAGGATCGGGCCGCAAAACGGTCTCCTGCCGGCGCCACCGACACGGCCGTTGCTCCGATTGCCTCGGCCGTGATGCCCATTGTGGCTCGCAATGAGAGTGAGACCCGCATCACCCGGCCCCCCATCCAGCCCGGCGAGATCAATTGCCGCTTCTGGCACAAGACATACGAGGATCCAAACTACTACACGTGCACCGAGATGGCCAACCTGTACGGCATCACTCTCAAGGACTTCTTCTTCTTGAACCCAACCGTGCTGCCGGACTGCTCCAACCTCGAACCAAACACGAAATACTGCGTCATCGGGTGTGAGTTTCGTACCTTACTACCTTAGCTACTACCTTACCTGATGTACCCATGTATCATGATCCCCTGACGACTCACGACTGACGCCAACCTACAGTTATTGAGCCCCTTCGCTCTACCGACGGCTTCTGTGGCCCTCAGCACAACAATGCCACCTGCCTGGGAACCGAGGCGCAGTGCTGCAACGCAGAAACATGGACCTGCGGTAACACCGAGTAAGGAGCCGAGACCGACTGGAGTCACTCCAGACTATCACCAAGGAATTTCTCTTCAGAGCCCAGGTAGACTGACCAAGGTACCCCCACAGAGCGGATTGCGCCGACGGCACGTGCTATGAAGGAGCCTGCTTCGGCGACAAGGAGTATAGCACCGATGGTACTTGTGGCTGGCAGCACGGCAGCCGAATGTGCGCCGGCAAATGGGGAGATTGTTGTCACCACAACGGTACCTGCGGCACCGGCACTGCCTTTTGCGCCAAGGGGAACTGTCAATCGGGAAACTGCGACTGGGATGCCATTTTCAATTTGACAACCACTTCGGCGCCGGCAAGCAGCACCAGCAGCAGCAGCACTACCACCACCTCCACCACCTCCTCTTCCTCCACCACCACCACCACTGACCCCAGGGCATGGCCCACCTTCACTATTACCAACTGCGTAGGCGGCACGGGTCCGGGGGAAAAAGCCCGCAGCCTCTGTCGGATGACCTGCGACCGCGGCTTCTGCCCGCCGCCTTGCACATGCACGGCTCCCGGCACCCCCAATCCTCTTCCCGATACGCCTCCGGGATTCCACTGCTGGGCCGTGTTGTCGATGCCCGCCGAGTATGACCCTCTGTGTAGCTTCATATGCGCCTACTACGGCACAGGCTGGATGCCCGTAGGGTATTGCACCGCGATCCCCTACACCACCACCCCCTCCGACCCTCGCGCCGTATGCGTCCGGGGCGAGGGCGAGGGCGACTACAAGGGCTTGTGCGACTTCTCCTGCCGCTACGGCTTCTGCCCGTCAGACACCTGCTCGTGTACCCTGTACGGCGGCCCAGGGACGTGGTGGGAGACACAACCAGACGAGACGGGAACCCCGGGTGTGCCGGCGCCAGGCAGGGACGAGAGCTTCGCCGAGCTGTGCAACTATGCGTGCAATTACGGGTATTGCCCTGCCGAATTTTGTGTGATTCCCTAAAGCGCGTTGCAGGTTTTGTACCCGACATAAGAACCACATCCCATAGATAAGGCGGTGTAATACATTGTGTTGAACACTGGTTTGATTACTAAATAATCCCGGGAAACGTACATTTCACTGGTTACGTGAGCAGAGGGGGGTTTGGGCACTAGCTGGATAATGGTGAATTTGATTGAGAATAAGTACCTTAGGTACAGTGGCTCAGGATGAGAAAAAAAGAGGCCTGACTAAACCTCCGCCCAAGGCAAACACATCACACATCTGCTTGCCACTTCATACAGGAAAAGGGGCTCCAGATGGGGAGGTAGACCGTAGCCCTCTGCCCGTTGGCAGCTACTACTAGTAGTACCTAGCCGGGCCCGCCGATGTTGCTAATTCAGGTACCTTAGAAGCCGGTTTCGTATATTCCGCCAACCAATCCTGCTCGCGCAAGACCTCTACTTCATCCGGCCAGCCACATACGGCCATCAACCTGGTCTCAGGCGGCAAGGGGTCGTCCTGCCCGGCGGCCGTCAGCGCCAGCGCGGCCAAGAGATCCCCACGCAGGCCCATCAGCCAAGGGTGCACGGCCGAGACGTAGTCGTGGATCGTGAGGAACTCCCCCGCCGCCTTCACCTCCAGCCGGGCGTCCTTGTCCACCGGCCGCTCCCCCACGGCGCAGCTCCCGTCCGGGTCGTTGGGGTACGGCTCGTTCATCTCCAGCCAATCCATCTCCCAGTGCTCGAGCGGGTCGACTCTGATGGTGACGGACGATACCTTGGGCTCGGTATAGGGCGATTGCGCAACGGCGTGCCACGAAGCGATGGTGCCGTCGTCCTCCTGCTGGCAGTAGGGCTCTGGCGGGGCGGCGTCCGGGTCCGGGTCGACCCAGCGGTCTTTCATGACTTGGATCGATGTGGCGAGCGGGCCGTTGAGGGACCAGCGGAGACGCCTGACATCGGCACTGAGTTTGACAAACTCGCCGGCCTCTTTGCGGGCTTCGTACGAGGGTATCTGTTGTGCCGGGATGCTACGAGTCTCGACGTCCATCGTGAGTTGTTGGTTTGATTGGGACAAGTAACGCGAACGAAAATAGATCCTGTATGTTCGATCGCTGGGTCCAGCTGCTGCTTGTTATCTTGTATGTACCCCTATTGTGCTTTTTAGCAAACACAGCCAGCTGGCTAAAGTGGTTGCTAGGGCAACCACTAACACGACGTTTTGGGGAGCGCAGAGTTGCATCCGGCACGAGAAATATTGAAGGTGAATTGTTTGGGACTGACCTCTGCTTTGCTTGATGGGATGCATGGCACGAATCCCGTTCGATTTGAGGTGAACCCCTGCCAAAAATCATTTCAGGCAGCGGTACCACAGAGGTGAGGGATGGGATGTCCGCGATTTGTTGGAGTCGCGCCGTTGAATTAGTGTACAGATACATTCTTCGTACATAATGGATGTACAATACTTGTAAAAGCCGGTAATTACATAACGGGCGAGGTACCCGTTGGCTCCACTTTCGTACAAGGGCCAGTACCCTGATAGTGCCCAGCGGACTTGGCTGGGCCACTTAACTTCATTTCACTCTACCCAGAGGGGATGAAAATAGGAAGATGGACTTGACTTATAAACTCCACAGGTTCATCGGCCCTGCGCCATTGCATCCACTTCCCTCGAACTACTCTACATGTTCCCAGCAATGAGTACTGCCGTTGAGGAACGTCTTAGTTACACTTAGTTACATGCCAAATCCGTCCCGTTTCCCAGCCGGTTTACCAGGATGCTGCGTCTCGATGCTACCCTGTCCCAGCCTGAAAAGTACCGCTATTCTGCCCCGGGCGATCGCAGTCCCGCCTATGATATGAGGCAAGGCGCCGATTCGATCCCCGGGCAGCATCGGAAAAACCGTAAAATCATTTCTGCTGGTTTGGTCCCTGACCATAGGCCCCGTGCTGCGGTGGCCAGTATTGCTGCTGTCCCTGCTGTGCTTGCGCTTGTTGACCATGCTGATAGCCACCGTAGAGGGCTGGGTTGTATGAGCCCGCGGCAGGAGGTGCCTGGCGGGTGGTCTCAGCAACCGGCCAAGCAGGGGAGAAGGGCTGGGCATAGCCAGATGGCTGAAGGGGCTGTTGGAAGGGAATTGCTGGGGGCAGAGGAGCCGCTTGAGGATACTGGTGCTGTTGACCCCGATTCTGATTCCAGGCCTGGTAATTAAACGTGAAGTTCCCCGAGGGCCCTTGCTGGGGAGGGTGCATTGGGGGGCCAGCGGGGGGTGAGTGCTGGTATGGTGCCGCGTTATGGCCATATGAAGAAGGGGCAGCCGGCCATTGCCCGCTAGTGGTCAGCGGCTTTGCGCCGAATGGTGGAGGGGGAAGATGGGGATTCGGGATGGGGGGGGATTGAAGGTTTGAGAAGGCCGCCGGCGGTGAAGTTGCGCCATCGTAACCGAACTGATGATGGCTACCACCTCGGCCACCCTTTGGAGCCTGTCTCCGGTCACCTCCACGATAGCCGCCACGTCCGCCGCGACCCCGGAAATCGCCGCGGCCACCACGATGGGCTTCGCGGTGACCGTAGCGCGGGGATGCACTGGATCTAGCCTCAGGCCTTGGAGGCATTGGAGGAAGTGAAGCGCTGTTAGACTGGCCAAATCCAGGAGGCCTGGTCAAAGGCTTGTACGGTCCGTCATCGTCATCATCATAGTTGAGACCGGCACCCGACGCCATGTTGGTAAGCTCGGTGCTGTTGGAAGCGCGCCGCTGGCCATGCTGGTCTCGTCCCCCACGGCCGTTTTTGCCTCCCCGCTTTTTGAGTTTCTGCTGTCTCTTGTACTCCGCCTCCTTCTCATCATCGGAAAATTCCATCTCATCTGCCGCGACTTCTTCATCATGGAGGTTGCTTGCATCAGTACCCTTTGCTTCTTTTAGTGCTTGAGTGAAGACGTAGTTGGCGTGCTCGACGGAGAAGAATATGGGTGTGCCCACCGCCAGGCCGAGTTCTCCTATCTCTTCCTCGGTAGGGAATCCGACCGTGTACATGGGACTGCGGACGTTGCCCAATATCTCAGCCAGGGCACCAATGACGGTGCGATCCTCTTTGCAGAGCACAGATCCTGAATCCAGTACCTGATATTCGCCGGTTCCCTGCGATTGGATGACGATGGTGTTTTCAACAACGGCCATGATATGCCCCAACAGTTCAATTTTCATGTCTGGCGTTATGGTGACGTCGGGCTTGGGCATGACTTCGTCTGGGACTTCATTCTTTGTCCGGAGAACCGAAGCCGAGTTCTTGGCTTTTCCCGTGCCGTCTCCGTCTCCCTCGCCATCGCCATCCGTTGCCATGAGAAGCCGGGCTGTCTCCTCGATGCCAAGAAGCTCGTAGCCTCCTTCATCTTCGGAGTCCTCATCCGAGGAACTGTCTGAGCTGGACTCGGACGATGATTCATATGGTGAGGAATCGACTTCCCACTCAGGGTGTCCATTCTCCTGCTCGACGTGAGCATCATCCTGTTGCGAGCGATCGTCGCTCATTTCCGGATTTTCCATCGCCGATTCCTCGGCACCGGCTACCGCTGATAAAGAATTGAGCTCCTGGTCGGGGTTCTTAGTTTCCTGCTCTGGATGAATGGTATTTTGTTGCTGAAGATTCACGCCGTTTTGAGAGGTTGATGATAGAATGCCGTTAATAGCGGCTTCCAGAGCATGCGTGACACTTGGGCTAGACGGTACACTGATCGTCTTTGCGTCGTCTTCTGCAACTGAGCGTCCAATGGTACTGGATTGTTCTGAAGGCATGTCGACATCTGGGTCGTCGGCGGGTGAAGGATCACTAGTGGTGGTGGGGTTGATCTTGCTGTCAATTTTCATGTCATCTTCTTTTGGCTGACTGGCAGTTGCCGCGGTTGCGGCTGTTGCGGCTGTGCTTGTGTTCTCTGCTTCCTTTTCCTGTTGCTGCTGCCGCTGATTCATCACCCACTGTGTATTCTCGTTAGTACTACCGCCCCATGCGACCCCATTCTCCCCCATTATACTTGCGGCAGCAGTTAGAAGGTCGGGTGCAAAGTTTTCGACTGGCAGTTGCTCATTGTGTTTCCCCTGGCCAAGGCCAGGAATCTTGAACGGCTTTTCAGCCATGCTGTGAGCCCGATTGCACAAAGGTGAAGTTTCCTAAATGCTTGCTTTGATCTGCAGCCTGTCCCGAGTTGATACGATGAATTCCGGAAGCTAACAGAGCCCACAGAGTCTGTGACTCGCAACTTTTGATACCAAGAACCGTTCGTTCACGAGTGGTGAACATCAACAGCCCAAGAACAGGCCCACTCCGTGTCAAGAAGCGAGAGACGATACAATCTCTCTCCTTCGTTGAAATGACACGGAGATGAAAAGGAAACGGAGAAAAGAGGTTGTATGGGACGTGAGACGCGACCGAAATATGGCACACATCAACGACCGGCCACTGACCAGCCAGAACGATATGCACCGAAAAGAGTGAAGGCTGAAGAAAATGAAGAAAATGAAAATCAATGAACCGCCAAGCGAAGTGCATGCAGCAGCGCACGGATCACCGCGACGCTAGTGATGAGTGACGCTATACCCTATATAGACAAGCGCCCTTTCCAGGCACTGCGTCACTCTGGAGCTTCGCTGCGTTGAGGTTGAGCTGTGCTGGACCTCATTGGAAATTCTCAACATTCTGGGGACAAATCTGGACTCGAGTTATAGGTCTCGGAGGCCATTGCAACACCAAAATGGCTCCCAAAGCCGTACCAAAGCCTTCTAGAGCTGCAGCTCGGGCGGCAGGTGCAGATAAAAAGGAGACATTTGTCCATCCATCCGCTAAACATGCCAGGAAGAAGTAAGGTCGGCCCTTGAAGGCTTGAAGCATCCGCCGCATCCTGCGTATCCTGGAATGGAACCACACAAGCTGACTTGAATGCACTTCCAGGGCTATCAGGGATGCCTTTGCAATGGAGCCCATCTCGGCTTTCTACATCTTTCTTGCCGCCAACGCCGTAGCCGCCCTCTTCTCGCCGATCCAAGACTGCGACGAGACCTTCAACTACTGGGAGCCGACTCACTACCTCGGCCATGGCTACGGATTACAGACGTGGGAATACTCGCCGGACTATGCCATCCGCAGCTGGCTGTACATTGCCATCCATGCAGCCGTCTCCAACATCCGTCGCCTGCTCCCACACTCCAGCAAGGTTGCCGAGTTTTACTTCCTCCGCTACATCCTCGCCTTTGGCTGCGCGCTCTGCCAGACGCTCATGTGGCGTGCCGTCTGTCTGGCCCTCAGCCCCCGGGTTGGACTCTTCTTCATCCTGGCTCTGGTTTCTAGCCCGGGCAACTTCCATTCCAGCACCGCCTACCTTCCTTCTAGCTTTGCCATGTACATGGCCATGGTGGGCGCTGCGGCATTCATAAACTGGCGCGGCGGGTTGAAGACATCGCAGGGCATATTTTGGTTTGCCGTTGGTGGTGTTCTCGGGTGGCCGTTTGCTGCGGCTCTGTGCATCCCGTTCGTTCTAGAGGAGGCCTTCTTCGCCATCCTAAGCGATAAGGAGCGCTTCTTCGAGTCGTTCATCAGACTAGCCCGCGGGGCTGTAGCAACATTGCTTTTGGTTGTATGTTCGCCCCTATATTTTCCCGTGCCTCTTAGCTAAGAACTGTCTAGGTTTTTGACACGGCGATCAACACATTCTTCTACAAGAAGGTTGAGATTGTCTCGTGGAACATCATCAAATACAACATCTTCTCCACCAGAGGCGGCCCTGACCTCTATGGCACGGAGCCGCCGTCCTTCTACTTCAAGAACCTCCTCCTGAACTTTCACATCTGGTTCATCTTTGCACTCCTCTCCCTCCCCCTCTTTCTCCTGCAAAAGCTATTGTTCCGCCGTGCAGCAGGCGAGACCTTCCAGACCGGCCTCCGCACCCTCGTGTTTCTGAGCCCATTCTACATGTGGCTTGCCATCTTCTCTCTTCAACCCCACAAGGAAGAGCGGTTCATGTACCCAGCTTACCCCTTCCTCGCCCTGAACGCCGCGCTTGGTATCCACACATGCCTCACCATCATTGGCAATGGCGACCCAAAATCGCTCGTCGGCCGCATTCCTGCCAAGCTCAAACTAGGCGTCATCAGCATGGCCCTATTCTCCTCAATCGCCATCGGCCTAGCCCGCGTCTGGGGCCTCTACACGGGCTATCACGCACCCTTATCTCTCTACGCGCCACTCTCCGACCCCAAGATCGGCGGGCCGGGTGATACAGTCTGCTTTGGCAAGGACTGGTACCGCTTCCCTTCGTCTTTCTTCCTCCCGCGCGACATGCACACCAAATTTGTTCGCTCCGAGTTCAGGGGGCTGTTACCCGGGGAGTTCTCCGAGGCTCGCACGGGCTTCGGATTCTGGAGTGGGACGTGGCTGCCTACGATCGGACTCAACGATCGGAACGAGGAGGACTTGGGTAAATATGTCGACTTGAGATCGTGCGTATTCCTAGTGGATACGCAGTTCCCTGCTCGGGAACAGGAGCAGTTGCCGCCCAGTGAGCCGGATTATGCCAAAGATGTAAAGAGGTGGGAGGAGGTCAAATGCCTCCCTTTTCTAGATGCTCAGAGGACGCACTTCCTGGCGAGGGCTCTATGGGTGCCGGACTGGGCGATCGTGCCTGAACGGTTTCGAAGGAGGTGGGGGAGGCATTGTCTGTTGAAGCAGAGGAGGTGAAGGTTGTAGTCTCAGGGTCGGAATGATGTGATAGACGACAGGAATGCTTCCTTGTCTTCAGATTAATACCTAGATATCTGATGTGTTTTATGCATGGGATAGAGGCTACGGTGCATTGGTTTAGGAGAGCATGGACACCTACCTGACGAACCTGTACTTTATGAATATACCCAGTTAATTTACCATCCTTATGGTGTCACGACTAGACAATCGCTTGACAGGATCGTTTGCTTCATGTGGACCATTCAGCGGCAGTGACCGCTGTTGCAGCACAGCATACTGGTATTCATAAGGTACGTTTGATTCTGCTGGTCGCCATCCGAAGATCAAACTTGTTGCGATATCATTGGGTCCTATGTTCCGAGGGCCAAAGGATATAGCTATCTGGCATGATGTTAGAGATGTCGGAAGTTCCTTCGTGCTGACTTTCTTTGACTTCGGAGTTCAGATCCTCCCTTGATTTATCTCCTTCAACCCCCTGGACCTGACTACACTTCAATCTCTGAAACCATTCCCTCAGACGGCTCACTCAGGGAGTCAAGCGCCTAAGTAGGCAACTGACCTGACTGGGCTTTCATTCAACTGAGGTTGCACCATTGAGTTTCATACCGAGTCGCCGGCATCATTCTTTCGCTATTATCAAGGCTCTAAACGTAGCAGAGCATTCTGCATCTTCCCAGGGCAGACTGCTGGGATTTAAGCATTAAGCATTACGATATACGAGTGCTGATAGCGCTTGCTCAGCAAGCTTTACTCCGCCCTCTGTCAGGAAATAGTAGCGTGTCCGAAACATGGCATCCAATGATCCAAACCAGGATGAAAAAACCAAACGCACCGCCGAAGCCCAAACTCCCATCGTCTCCCACAATCATGTTGCGCTCAAGCACTGGCAGCTCGAGCACAACAGCATATCTTACACACAAGCGCAAATAGTTGCTGTCTGTATCACGCCCGCAAGAACATCAGCGCTGCCAACCACACCCAGCTAAGAAGCAGCGGCACTACAAGTAATAATAGCACCCACCGCACCGAGCTCGAGCCGGCAACAACATCGTAGCCGAGGAAGACGCGCAGCCACCTCTTGACGCGCGTCTTGAGCTTCCTGGCGTGCGGACACGTCCTGGTGCCGTAGATGAGGCAACCCAGTCCCGGCCGCGACTCGCACTCGATGTGCTCCCTCCTTCGTTGCATGAGGAGTCTGTGGGGGCGAAGAGGGCGTGTTAGATTCTGAGACTATGTTTGCCAGGGAAAGAATAGAAATGATGAGAAGGAAGGAGGGATCCATACTTTACGCTCCCCCTGCAAAACCGCACGTCGCTCCCCAGATCGCAGCGCGAGTCACTCGGACATTCGAGGTGCAGCAACCGCCGTTCCATGAGCCAATCCACCTTGAGCTTGACGCCCGTGTTGACAAGGTGGTAGAAGTGGCGGTTGGTGTGTTTGAGCGACAGCGCATCGGGATAGGTGAGATATTCGGCGATGAGGAGGTGGATCTCGGGCGGCAGGGTGGCGAGGGTAGGTTTGGGCCGAGCGGGAAGCAGTCCGGGTGTCTCTGCCGCTGCCGGTTCATCCTGATCTGATGAAGCCGGACGGGTATTGTTTGCCTTCGTCCCTGCGGGCGACCGCCACACTGCTTGGCGCAGAAGTGATACCATGCTGGGTTTGGTTATTGGTTGGTGGTGGACTTCGGGTGGTGGAAGCTGACAGCTGACACTTCGATGTCAAGAAATCAAGGACCATGAAGCGAGCTGCAACCGAGAGGCAAGGAAGTTTGACCAGATAAATAAATATGCCGGCAGATGTATACCTAATGACTAAGATATCGTCGTAGAGTAAGAGGCCAGAAACATGAAATGTGAAACGTGGCGATGCTTCCAGCTGGCCGTCTTGGCCCTCTGTGGCTGGCAGCTCCATTGGGCTTTGAGTTGGGAATGCAAAGCTGGCATTCGCTGCGCGATGGAGGGTTGACATTTGACAAGCGTTGGTCAGGGGTGCAGGCGTACTGTAGCTTGAACTTCGGTGCCTGGCTAGGCCCAATCCGGACCGTGCTCAAGCATTACTGTGTTAACAGAGCAATCGAATTCGCCCGGTGTACGCCTCAACTGCAGACGTGGAAACTTGAATACGAGGTGGAGACCAGGCAGATCTTATGTTTAGAAAGTCACAAGACAACAGATCTTCAAGCCTCATCAGGCGAGTCACCGTGAAGTCCGAATGTCTGCGGTCAGCCTTGGAGACCGCTAGCCTAGTACGTAAGTTAGGTTGTTAGCATCCATACTTGGATGCGAACGTTCGGGACAGAAATCACTCTCAACCCTCAACTAGTACAGTACCGCGAGTTAACAGAGCAAAAGGAGTCAGCCAAAAGACAACTTCGAGTTAGAAACACACGATATCAATATCAGGTCTTATTTTAGCTTTTTGGAGGCCATTTAACAGTTTGCAAAGGAGCTAAACAGGCAATATGTCGTTTTACTACCAGAGAGGCTCTTTCAGCGGTGTTGCAAACAACAGTTTGTTAGTGTTAGTGCTAAAGCAAGTCCACATCCCCTGGCAACATAACAGCAATGTAGCCAGCCATCTAGTGTAGTATCAGGGACGAGGCATACATTAATTGTTGAAACAGTCCGCTCTCTCTTGACAACTCTGATGGAAAGGCAGCATGGACCGATCGAAGGTCGGTTATTAACGATAGGACCCCTCAGGAAAACAGTTATCCACATCATCCCAGATATCCAGCTCGAGCATGCCGTCTTTGCGATACCTGCTCCCGTATCGCAGCATCGTTTTCACTGCCTGCCCGTCGTGCGGCCGGGCCAAGTATTTGGCGAGCTCCTTGCCGTCATCCGTGGTCCTGCCCTCGACATTGGCCATGGCGGTCTTCAGCAGCCGCGCCAGGCAGAGGAAGCTTTCATGGTCCGGGACGAACAGGCCCCAGCATGCCCACACTACGACACCCACGGCCAACACCTGGCCCCCCACGATGGTTGCGAGCACCGTGATCGCTCGCTGCCACTTGACTTCGAGCGCCGTGCGCACCAGGGGCCGCTCCGACGCACCGGGTTCGAGCGGATCTTTGCGCAGCTCGCGCTCGGCGCCGATGAGCGACAGTACCGGGGCTCGCGCGGCGAGGTGTGCTGCGTACAATTCGGTCTCGTGCGGCACGGTCAGCCGCGGCGACCCATTGTCTGGCGGTAGGATGCGGCCCAGTCTGTTCATGAAGTGCATGGTCTTGTCCATGCCCGAGTACTGCCGGATGCCAAGGCCGTCCCGCGATGCTTCATCGATTGAATAGAAGGCGTAGACGCGTTCAAAGACCGGGTAGCGAAGCAGAAGGCCGGCGGCGTAGGACGCGTTCTGGGTAGGAAGGGCATGTAGAGCGCTCCCAAGCCCCGGACCGTGGTTCGGTGTACTGAGACAGGTCGTGCACTCGTAGTAGGTGGCGTTACGATCCTTGCTGTCTTTGAAGCCTTGCTCAGTATAGAGATCTGCGGGTCGCATTCAAGGGTCAGTGGGACGGCGCCAGTGGAGGGAGTAAGTCCTGGTCTTGCTCACATGTCGTCGCGCAGGCCGAGGGGTTGTCAAAGTGGTCGTAGTCTAGTCGCGCTGCCCAGTTGTAGTCCCCGGTCTCGCCCCAATACGTGTAGATGCCGTCCAGAATGTTCACAAAGTTTGGGCTGTTGACTGTGCGGTCCACTATGAAGAGGAAACATCCCCCAAGTCAGCTCTCAGTGACCAGAACCACGGCGTGCTTGGCATCAATGCCAGATTCCTTACACAAGCTGCCCACTTTCTTTCCCCTTTCGTAAATATCGCTCCCGTAAAGGGCCCTGCCGATACAGCTGGACGTGCTTTGAATTACGGTGTCTGCCGATGGGTACTCATCTAAGCCGCGATACTCCTTCAGAGCGTAAGAGTAGGTGACTTTGTCACCCTCAACCTTCCGGTCCAAGCCCTGTCCACTCATGTTGGCCCTGTTGTAGGATGCAGGGTCCGTGATGTTATACTGCGTATCAACGGTCACCAGGCCGATGAGACCGTACTCGTCGAACCGTCCTGTCGCGCGGCGGTCAGAGATCAAGGATTAACGGGGTTGCCCTGAATATTTGTTTGGATCCATGATACAAGACACTTACGGAAATTAGGATCAAAAAAGTCATAGTCGCCAAAAGTGCCGACGAGCTGGTCCTTTCGCACGCTGAACCAGTCAGGGCCACTCCAGTTGGTGATCTTGATCGGGTATTCAATTTCGAGAGCCTCATTCAAATCAAACGTCAACCCGAAGAATGCCACACTCAAGCGACCGGCGACGTTCAACACGAGGTATAGTGCCACCATAGTTGTTGTCATGGTCCATCGCCGCCGCTTGATGTGGTGCAGAACCAGTCTGAAGGAGCCTACAGGATTGTGTATGCCCAGCAACAGATCGACCTGGCAAAGTGGATGAGCGTGTACCCCACGACGTGCCCTCCGTGGAAAGGCAACCCACATCTCGAGGCGAGTGGGACTTCCTGGCTAGAAGCCTCCAGCGGAACATGGAGCCTAGCAAACCGAGGAGAGAGCCCATGGATAAACTAACAAGGGACGAAAACAGAATGGCAAAGGTATTGAACCAACGCCTGTCCCAGTCGCTCAGATTACCTTTCTCAGCGAAGGCATGGAGAAGGACCAAGAGAAGAGAACTGAAGAGGACGGCGCACGCGAATCGCCAGAGAATGTGTTTGCAGAAAAGACGCCACTGATGGCTTCGATGGTCGAACGAGTGCCTGTGTAGGTACTCCATTGAACTTGTGTTATGACCGGAATCGGACGCACCCATCCTCTCATACGACTCGGACTTCAAGTTCTCAGCAAATCCAACCGGGCTGTACTGATAGGACTGCGCTGCCATGGTGAATCACCCGTCTATCCGAGGAGATGACAGAGACCTTGGAATTCGAAGAGAAGCTTCTGGGAAAGTTGGAGCTAGACGAGGGTTGAACTTTGCAAGAGTCCACCGTCCATAGGGCCAGTTGTAACAACTTAGGATGGAATCCGCGGCCTGGTGTTTCAGGGAAAGAGAAGTTACCGCGGTTGCCGCTTGATGGATGGTATGGGAGAATCGTATACCTTAAGGATTGAGTAGCTATCATTGATGCTCAACCTGCCGTGCTATTACCCTGACTTGACCTTAGACATGGAATCTGAATGCCACACCTCGTGTCAGAAGTTCCCACATCCCGTTCCCTCCATGATGCCCTGCCCATCTCTGAGCGGTTGTCATGACTGCGAGATATCAGTCAATCCAGCGTCGACCCGAGTGGGAGGGTGGGCGAGGCTCTGGCCAGCGAAGCGAAGGCGCATAATATCGATACCCAATCTGGACGTGTCCGAGCGGCACGCAGAGCTGATTATCGGATTCACTGGGATGGTGGATTGCTTGGCATATTGAAAAGCTGGCCTTGAGGGCTAACGCGAGTCATACTTCTGCCGAAACCAATGGCGAAAATGAAGTGCTCCCCAAGCCATAACACCACTCTCCAAAGGGGATGAGCTGCAGCCGTGCCTCCGGTCCGGGCCTTTGTAGAAGTGATGGGGATTGGCTGGTTCCGTGACGAAGCTGAGTCTCCTGCAGCTCGTCGCAGCTGCTGGGTCAAGGGACGGGGTCTACCACTTGTTATGACCGGAACCGGAAAAGCTGAGGATGAGGAAATGCTGAGGATGATAACGTTATCCTTGTCCCCATTTCAGAACCGTGATCTCTGACAACCAGGATATTGTGTTATTGATCTTATAATCTTGGTCGCCCTGATGTTAGTCATCGGCCGAAGCCGTCGGTGATCCCAGCCTCGTGGTAATCAGCTGAGCCAGCGACAATGAGCGGATGGCTGAAGCGGCCGACTATGCGTAAGCTGTAGGGTCTGATAACCTGTCTTTTCGGAATGCTACCACAATGAGCTCAATGATTGCTAAACTTGACCATGAACGGATCTCAGCCTCGAGATTCTGTTGTGTAATGCGGGCTGAATGTCACAGCACAACGCTGACGATTACGTCGAGGCTGGAGGTAGATGCTCGCAGCTTTGGGACCTGTCAAGTGGAAGCAGCGATTAATGCTCAACGCGCTTCTTGATTTGTCGCTGTCAGCTATTGTACCTTAAGTACCTACCCTATACCCGTGTTGGCGTTGCGGGCTTGAGGGTTAAGCGTCGGATGATCGCAGGGTTCTTTTGATTTGTTCGTTTCCCCTTCCGTCTTTTCTTAGACCGGACGCACATGGCATGTGGTGTCGCCTTGATTTCCTCGGTAAGCTGGCCATCTTTGATGATGTTTTCGAACTCAAGTGGCATCTCGTGGCTTCGATCCATGTCATCGTTAGCTAATACCCAGGGTTAGTATTTGCGGAGAAAGTAAGATCAGCGGCATATAGCGGCATAATATGAAGCTATCCGGAAGACTATGTTGTGTAGCTTACGTTGAACATACCGTAATGTTATATTTTGTAGCATACATTGAACATACCGTAATGTTGAGGTCGTTGAGGAATCACGCTTTCGGGGCATTTGCGGCCATTTAAGCAGCAGGTCATGTGAGGACGCGTCCAGCAGGCAGAAATTGGCACTGGGGCTTGCTGAGCCAGTCGCATTGAGGCCTTCCTTCCTTCCTGAGCAGGGTGCGAATGAGGGGGCAAGGCTGGACCAGGCTTCTCCAGGTTGCACCTTCAAAAAACAGCATCGCAAATCTGCGAGAAACAATGTCCTAGTGGCTGGGATGGCAGGCTTTGACACGGATAGCGACACCGATTATGGCTATGACCTGACAACATCCGACGAAGAAGAGCTGCTGGCCATTGTTGACCGGCTTTCGTCAAGTGCGCCGCAGCCTCGGTCAGACCCGTTGACCCCATCAGCACGCGCTTCCCAGAAGTTCAGCGCTCGGAACCCTGCACAAAGCTCGGTCCATCTTACCACATCTACTAATTCTGTTCCCGATGCCGATGCTTCATTCGCAATTGAGGAAGCCATCGCCGCCCTTAGCGACGACGATTTGAGCGTCGACACCTCCGACCTCGACGGGCGCAACCCTGACCATGTTGATGACATCACGCGCAGCAGCGCTGCCAAGGGGCAAGATAGACGAAGGCTTGCGCCTTCGGTCTCACCCGACCGTGATGAGCTTGCTTCCTTTGTCCACAAGACAAAACCGAGGTCTGCCCCTACGCTGCTCTCAGGCCCGGAGATTAGGTACCCGGACCGTAAGTTTGTCTGCCGATCCCGGCTTGGTGGAATCCGTTATCACTCACCACTGACCGAAAGCGACTAGTGAGCCGTGCGCTGTCCGAGGCCGACAAGGCTTCGGAATCTCTTGAAAAGGCCAAAGGGCGTGCCAAGGATCTTGTGGAAGACAACCGGCCGCCGATCCTGCGCTTCCGCACATTCCCCATGAAGCCATTCTCCGTTTCGGACTTGATAGCTGGATCATGGTGCGAACTGCAGTACTACTACACCTTGACCCAACTCCCTGGCGGGAGAAAGACGCGAACGGCAGCCATGAAGCGGGGCTCAGAAGTCCACGAGAAGCTTGAGCGGGAAGTTTACACGCCAGTCCAAATAGACGTCACCAAGAAGGAAGACGCCTTTGGGCTCAAAATCTGGAATACAATCCAAGGATTGCGGGTTCTGCGCGACACGGGACTTACTCGTGAACTTGAAGTATGGGGCATGGTGGACGGGAACGTCGTCAATGGCGTCATTGACGGCCTGAGCTACGAGAACCCGGACCCCGAATTGGAGGAGGAGGTCCTTAGCAGTCGCGGCAGCAGCCAGACCGTAACGAACTCGCAAATGACAGACCCTGGTACTCCCTACAACAAGGGCCGGGACTATGAGATATACATCACCGACGTCAAGACGCGGACAACGGCCGCCCCGCCCTCCCAGGCACAGGTACGGGTGGCTATCATCCAGCTGTTCCTTTACCACCGCTTCCTCACACAGATGGCCACCGACCAACTGGACTACCTACGCGTATTTGAGCGCTACGGGCTTAACCCCGACGAACCCTTCTCCGACTCCTTCATGGCCCAGATCGGGGCCATACACGGAGAGATTTTCGCCGACATCGATGCTGAAACATCCTCTGCCTCTTCTTTCAGTGGCGCCTCCTCAGAGTTAAGCAATGGACTCGAAAACGGGGGGTTTGTCTCTGCGCCCTCCAGTCCATCGCAACTAAGTAGCTTCGACCTGACCGAAGACGGCGAATCTTCATCCCCATCCCGCTCTCGAAAGCTCAAATACCGCACCCTCCGCGCCCTCCTCCCGCTCCTAAAATTCGAAATCCACCTCACCTTCCCCAGGGGAGCCGCTGATCTCGGCCAAATAGTAGCGGTCGAGTACCGGTACCGCAGCCGGGAGGATCGCACCACCACCACCACCTCTGCCGAGTCAGAGACCTCACCAGAAGAGGCAGATGCCAGCAGCAGCGGCAAAAGACCGCGGCGCTCGGCCCCGGGAAATGGGCCTGGGCCTGTCCAACCCGAAGACGGCTCCGTCATCTGCACAAATACCTTCTTTGTCGAGCCACACACACTCGATCTGTACCTGGAGGAGACGATGCGATGGTGGAAGGGTGAGCGCGAGCCCCACGGCGTACCGCTCGAGGAGGCCTTCAAGTGCCGCTCCTGCGAGTTTGTCGAGGGGTGTGAATGGCGGCGGAAGCTGGATATGGAGGCTATCAGGAAGGCCAAGGTCAAGAAGATGATGAGGGCTGACAAGGGGAAGATGGTTGAACTGGATGGGGATGTGGTGGAAGAGGGGGGAAAAAGTGGGAGTGGGAGTGGAAAGGGGAGGGGTGGCAAGAGGAAGAGCGCTATGGCTGCTTGGTGAAGAGCAGTGGTTTAGATTTGATATGACTTGTTTTCTTGGTTTATCGTTTCTTGTTTTGATGCTAGGTCGGGAGCGATCGGGTATGGGACAGGTTGAAACCTCGGCTGGGGTGAAGGGTACAAGCACTTGTTATACCCCTCATAAAAGGTCCTAAGACGGCGCATTAGGATTTAACAAGTATCGTTGACTCTTACTTCTAAGCCGGAACTAGGTCTCGTATCTGCGCCTGTCAACGGAATCGCATACCTGATGTGCACGCCGACCCTGATCTCAATGCAGGGCCATTCACCGATAGGGAAAGCAAACGGCCCCTCAAACGCAGGTCTATATATGCACTCAAAGAGGACAAGGTATCGAGCAAATCGTCATCGCCATAGCTGTCGCCTTCCACGTTCCGCTGCCGACTGCCGGCTATGTCCCTTTTCCCAACCGAAATCGACGGAGAAGCAGTCCCACCTCCGTCCATAGAGAATTTCCATCCCTTACCCGCCTACGGTACACTTGCACTCCACCGCAAACACAATGACGAAAGTAGAGACTAGATTCCCCTAAAGCCGCTTTCAATAACTCCGCCCAAACATGCACCACTGCTCCGCCAGCCGGGTGCACTCGGGGTTGAGACACTTGGTCTCGCCCTTGACCAAGCCCTCAGGCTGCTCAAATGGAATGCAGAGGGACTTCATGCCCATGGACGGGGCCTTCTGGCCCTCGGGGCCATCCGCCGCATCGTCCGAGCGACCGGTCGTCAGCTCCTTGACCTTGTCCTCACACTCCGGGACGAGGCAGTGCGGGATAATGACGACGTTCTTGGCGTCAAGCGCGGGGACAACCTCGTCCCAGTTGGTGATCTTGACGCGGTGCGCCCGGTACGCGGCGTCGGCCTTGTTGTACATGTCCTGCTGGATCGTCTCGAGCAGCTCGGGGACCTTGGCGGTGAGCTCGGCGATGGGGATGGTGCCCTTCTCGCCCGTGTCGCGGCGCGCATAGCTGACGACGTCCTTGGCCGCATCCTTGGGGCCGAATTCCAGCCGTAGCGGGACACCCTTCAGCTCCCAGTCGTTGAACTTCCAGGCAGGAGTGTACCCTTCGCGAAGGTCTACTTCGACGCGGATGCCGGCCTTCTTGAGGGTGTAGAATAGCTCGTCGAGGTGCTTGAGGTGCTTCTCCTTCTCCTCGGCAGACATCTTTGCTGTTAGGCCGACGGGAATGAGGATTGATTGGATCTTTGCGATCCGGGGCGGAAGCACGAGACCCTTGTCGTCGCCGTGGATCATGACCATCACGCCGATGACGCGAGTGGACAAGCCCCACGAGTTCTGCCACACGTGGATGTGCTTGCCCTTCTCGTTAGGGTCCTCGACGGTGATGTCGAACATCTTGGAGAAGTTCTGCCCGAGGCAATGGGATGTTGCGCCCTGAATGCCCCGCCCGTTAGAAGGAATGTAACCCTCTACCGTCGTCGTGTAGTAACCGCCCGCAAACTTCTCAGCCTCCGTTTTCCTGCCTCGTACAACAGGGACGGCGAGGAGTTGCTCGTAAATACCGGCATACAGCTCGAGGATTTGGAGCACTTCCTCCCCGGCTTGCTGTTCGGTGAGGTGGGCGGTATGCCCTTCTTGCCAGAGGAATTCTCTCGCTCTGAGGAAGGGGGTGGTCTGCTTGGCTTCCCAGCGAACGACTGAGTTCCATTGGTTCAGCCGGAACGGGAGGTCACGATGGCTTCTGATCCACTTGGAGTAGTCTACACTGATCAGCGGCTTGACCTCTGACAATATCATGCCCAATGGGCCAAGGACAACTCACAAGGATACATGACGGCTTCAGAGGTTGGGCGCACCGCGACGGGAACCTCAAGATCCTTATCACCACTGGCAAAGTCAGTCCGGGCTGCCACGAATCTGAAAGAACTGCTCCCCGACTTACGCCTTTGTTACCCAAGCCAGTTCAGGAGCGAAACCCTCGACGTGGTCCTTCTCCTTCTCCAAAGACTTCTGCGACAGGAACATGGGGAAGCTGGTCTCCTCAACACCCATGGCCTCGATCCTCTCCTGAAACCACTTGCGTATCGTGTTCCAAATGTGCATCGTCGCAGGGCGCATGATGAAGAAACCCGAGATTTCGGTGTAGTACTCGATCATTTCGGCTTTGAGAACGACTTCCTGGTACCATTGCGAGAAGTTTTCCGATTTTGAAACCGTAATGCCAATAATGTCGTCGGTCTTCTTGCCGCCGACAACGGGGAGCGTCGCCTGCTTTGCAGCCTTCTCAGCCTTTGCAGCCGCCATCTTGGCTTGCTTCTCGGCCTTCTTCTGCTCGCTCTTCGACTGCTCCTTTGCGTCCTCCATGGTTACTGCGCTCTGGAAATTCTTGAGGAGAAGTCAACCAGGCCGAAGGTATCAGATATCTGGGAATTGGCGGTTAGTGCCCAACCGACTTGATCGGGAGTGAGTCAAACGGAGTGAGGGAGGCGGGACGAGGCACGGGGCTGTATGTATATTTTTGGTGCCCCGCACTGGCACTCACCCCTCGCTCCCGAAACGAGGGGCATCAAGGTGGGCTGGGCCGCGACTTTTCTGCCGGGGGCAGTCTGGCAGATAAAGTTTTATGGGGTTCTGACCAATCAGAGCCCTGGAAACTGCCGCTGTAGGAGTGGCCGGCGTGGGATTATCTCCCCTCCGGCAGAAAAACATTGAGGTGGATCCAGGCCTGAGCTTGCCTCTCTGGGTGGGCGGTCAGAGCTCGTTGCTCGAAATTGTTGGAGCCTGCCAAACAGAGCCGACTTTCGATCACTTTCCCGCGTCTGTTCACACGACATTCTTTCCTCTTACCCGCCGATCGCCGCCTCATAACGAACACCTCTAGCGATGGCCTCCATGTTCGAGCAGCCAAGAAACGGGACACTGTTCCTGGGCGGACAGAAGATCTCCGGTTCAGATATTCGGGACCAAAATGGTTAGTTGCAAGAGCCTCACGATAAAGATGTCACCTTTGCTAACCAAGAATACAGTTCTGGCTACACAAGCCATTGCGAATGTGGTCAAGAGCTCCTTTGGCCCCAGTGGTCTGGACAAGATGATGGTGGATGATATCGGAGTGCGTTGCTTTCACTCCTGGCTCATTGATTGCGCCGAGCACCCCTCCTAACAGGACACAGGATGTGACGGTGACGAACGACGGCGCGACCATCCTCAGTCTGCTCGACGTCGAGCACCCCGCAGGGAAGATACTGGTTGACCTTGCGCAACAGCAGGACAAGGAGGTTGGCGACGGGACAACATCGGTTGTTTTGATTGCCGCAGAGCTGCTCAGGAGGGGAAACGAGCTGATGAAGAACCGGATACACCCGACGACCATCATTACGGGCTACCGTCTGGCGCTCCGCGAAGCGGTCAAGTACATGAACGAACATGTCAGCATTAAGGTGGAGCATCTGGGACGGGAATCGCTCTTGAACATCGCCAAAACATCCATGTCCAGTAAGATTATCGGCTCCGATTCGGATTTCTTTGCGAATATGGTCGTCGACGCGATGCAGGCTGTCAAGACAACAAATAACAAAAACGAGGTCAAATACCCCGTGAAGGCTGTCAACATCCTCAAGGCTCACGGCAAGGGAGCCCTTGAATCAATACTGGTTAAGGGCTACGCGCTGAACTGCACTGTGGCTTCCCAGGCCATGAAGACACGGATACAAGATGCCAAGATTGCCTGCTTGGATATGAATCTCCAAAAGGAAAGGATGAAGCTGGGTGTTCAGATTACCGTAGACGACCCGGATCAGCTTGAGCAGATTAGGGCGCGGGAGTCCGGCATGATCATTGAGCGCGTGGAGATGATCCTCAAGGCCGGCGCGAACGTTGTTCTGACCACCAAGGGAATTGACGATCTCTGCCTGAAGCTGTTCGTCGAGAGGGGCGCCATGGCTGTTCGACGGTGCAAGAAGGAGGACCTGCGGCGTATTGCCAAGGCTACGGGCGCCACGTTGCTGAGCACACTTTCAGACCTCAACGGCGACGAGAAATTTGAGCCGTCATACCTCGGCCATGCTGAGGAGGTGGTGCAGGAGCGTATCTCGGATGACGAGTGCATCCTGATCAAGGGCACCAAGACGCATTCTTCGGCGTCGATTATCCTCCGGGGACCCAACGACTTCCAGCTCGACGAGATGGAGCGGTCGGTGCACGACAGCTTGTGCGCCGTCAAGAGGACCCTTGAAAGCGGCAGCATCGTGCCGGGTGGAGGTGCGGTCGAGACTGCCTTGCACATCTACCTGGAAGAGTTTGCGGGCACGGTCGGCTCACGCGAGCAGCTCGCCATCGGCGAGTTCGCTCAGTCATTACTAGTCATCCCCAAGACCCTTGCGGTCAATGCAGCCAAGGATGCATCCGAGCTAGTAGCCCAGCTGCGGTCAAGGCATGCGCTGTCTCAGCGCATCCAAGAGGGCGAAGCAAACGAGGACGAGAAGACGGTGGCGCGCAAAAAGGCCTACAAGAACTATGGCTTGGACCTGATGAAGGGCAAAGTGGTGGACGAAATCAAGGCCGGAGTGGTGGAGCCTAGCATCAGCAAGGTCCGGCAGCTGAAGAGCGCCGTGGAGGCATGCATCAGCATCATGCGCATTGATACCTTGATCAAGCTGGATCCGGAGCAGAAGCCGGAGGACGACGGGCACGATCACTAGATGGCAGAGTAGTAAGCAGCACAACAGAGAACCATGCTTCTGTCAAGGCCATCGGATAGATATCTGAGATGCCCATGCAACGCGGATGAGCAGTACATTAGGGGTCAGTGTTGGTTGTGTCGCAAACTTCATGATCTTTACATGTACCTGGAGTCGCATATCATCGGCTTAGCTTCCTCCGAGCGGAGTCAGCCGGCCAAGGAGCGGTTTCCACCCCCTGGGCGGAACCTACAGTCAAGTCAACCGTTCGGCCCAGAGCCAATGCGGCTTTGTGACGTAAAATCTGGTGTGCATGCGGCTCCCATCCTTGCATCTTGCCGGAGCAGATGTGGCATCTGACCTTCCACCTCGGGCTCCTGGCCAATGAGGCGTCTGGCAGACACTTTGTTGACTCTTTCTCCGCATCAATGCCTCGTTATCTCGAGCCTTGGTTCCTTCAAGTTCAGTCCCGTGGTTGGGATTCGGCTTGAGCGGTAGAATTGTTCTTGTGTGTTTTGTGAGATGCTGCCTTCTAATGACTAAGATACCCTGAAAGGTACCTAGGAGGTATCCCTAAATGCAGGCCTTATTAGCCAAGGATCGCAGCGAGGGGGAAGTGTCCACCTCGCCTCCATCGTCTTCTAAGGAATCCGCTTGCGCCCTTAGCTTTACAGGGAACTTGAACCCGAGGGGTTTCTACAGGACACTTTCGTTCTTTGTCTTATTGTATCTTGTCTCTGTCTCGTTTGTGTCCTAGATCAGAGGTTTTAGAGCCTCGTCTCACAAACCATTACCTGCCTTTCCACCTCAACACTATAACATAACCAACAGGAGGGGGAAGTGCCACAAAATAAAAGAAAACGGTCAAGATGGGCTCCACTATCCCTCAGGCTACGTCTTCCACTGCTTCCCTCCCGGATGCCTCCTCCCCAAACCTCATCCTCACCCATCCCACCTCCGCCGAACGAACCCGCACATGGAAGCTCACGCATGCCAAGTGGGCCGGCGCCCTCAACGAGGCTGACTACCTCGCGCGGGAGGCCTACATGATGACAGTGCCGCTCGCCAAAAACGGCGGCCTGACCCACTGGATCCTGACCATCGCCGGCCTGCCGCCCGATGAGCGTCCCGTGCTGTCTTCGTGCGAGACCCTCCGCAAACGGGGCATCCTCACGCGGGGAGGAGGGGATGGTGCAAGGGTCCAGGAGGGCATGGTGTACGGGATCGGAAGCGTCTTCACGGACCCGACGTACAGGGGCAAGGGCTACGCGAGCCGCATGATGAAGGAGCTAGGAGCGAAGCTACGGGATTGGCAGGTTCCGAGTGCGGCGGTGGCGGCAATGGACTCGGACGCTGCTGCTGGTGGTGGTGGTGAGGGCAACGGGGCGGCGGTGCCGCAGGGGAAGCGTGGCGGTTCTTCCCCGCCGCTGTTTTCGGTGCTGTATAGCGACATCGGCAAGCAATTCTATGCGAGGGCTGGTTGGGCGCCGTTTGCGAGCAGCCATGTTGCGTTCAAACCGGTTTCGGGAGCCGCCCAGAGGGACCAAGGCTCCAGTACTCAGCTGGCGAAACCGATCGGATACCATGAGCTCGCGGAGCTGTGCTGCCTTGATGAGAAGCTCATGCGGGCCGACTTGGTGCGGCGGCCGGCGGGGAAGACGCATGTGGCGCTGATCCCGGAGCTGGACCAGATGCTGTGGCATTTGATGAGGGAGGACTTTATCACCAAGTGCATCTTTGGGCGGACGCCGACTGTGAAGGGTGCTGTCGCCGGCGAGCCGGGGAAGAGGATCTGGGCGGTATGGACCAGGGGATATCATAATGGCTTGGAAACGTCAAAGGGGAACACGCTGCATGTGCTGAGGGTGGTGGTGGAAGACGAAAAGCGGCCAGAAGAAGAGCTGGTCGACGGGTTCAGGGCGGTTATGCAGATTGCGCAGACCGAGGCGGCCGAATGGAACACCGAGGAGGTGCAGATGTGGAATCCGACGCCCAAGGTCCGGGGCATCATCGAGCGGTGCGGTCTCGAATTTGAATACGTCGACCGCGATACGTCAAGCATTGCGAGTCTGAAGTGGTATGGCGATGAGCCGATCGAGGAGGTCGATTGGGTTGCCAATGAGAAGTACGCTTGGTGCTGAGAGGGTTGGATAGGATTGCATACGGCCTTCTGTGAAATTCAGGTGTTTACCCCTTCTTTGAAAGCATTCTGTCTTGATACTAGAGATTCTCGAAGATTGCATAGAACCCTGCACGTGTCCAGGACTCCAAGACGTTCCTACTGTCAGTATGCTTGCTTCACACCGCAAGGAAAACAGCAGCTGTGAAGGCGCTGCAGTATTGTTTTAGGTGGACCACGTCCTGCCTTCCCTATACTTTGCAATGGGAATAGCCTGCTGGCTGAGAGTTGTGGGAGTAAGTGAACTTCTGGACCGCGAGTAGCCGATTCTCTAATTGCTATGACAAGTGATAGGACTTCAGGTTATTTGAGATTTTGAGTTCGCAAAATGCCTTGTGTTAGAATCAGGGGTGGTTGGCCCGTTACAGTCTTGCAGCGGCCCAGCTCTGCCTGCATTGCTCACAACCAAAGTACGACAGAGAACGTCCATCACTCTGGAACCAGGACGTGGTACGAAGTGGGCTATGAAAATGGCTGGATGAGCCTGACCATGTTCGTCCCATCCCGGAGCTAGATGGAACGTAAGTTTCATCCGAGAATGGATGTAACTTACATTGTGTGTACCTACGGATATTCGTATGTATAAGCGTTCACCTGGAACTTCCCGAGCTGAAACAAACCAGCTCACAGCAGGGGCTGAATATCATAGCGCAGTGTTCCACTACTTCCGCGGCGGGAAAACGGCCGCAACGTTCAGGTCAATTTCAGGCTCAATCCTCCCATCCGCTTTGGTGTTTGACTAGGGCTTTTAAGCCGCCACCTCCAACTGCCTTACCTTACCCGGCTGCGTGTACTGTACAGTACACATAACGTTAGGCCGCAAGTACGAGCATAATGCTAACCTTAACCAAACATGAACAAGTTGAGGCATACCTTACTTCCTAGAGCCTTTTGGGTAACGTCTGCCAAGCCCTGACTTGGGTTGCATCATAACCTCGGACACGCCCGCGATTGCCACCCCGCGTTCGGAATGACATGCAGGCACGGGCAGTGCCGGGGCACTGGAATCCGGAATCTTGACCCCACTTATTTCAATGAACCTTCTCCCTGCAATTCCCAAGACGCCAACTTCCGGGTCATCTCCTTATTTCGTATGCGCAGTTGTCGACACACAACCGAAACTACATACCTGCAACCTGCTGGAACGACAAGCTGGTCCTGGGTAATACCTTGCGGCTTAGGTAGGACGCCATCAGCCTGTTCTCTGCTCTGTCTGATCTAGGCGCGTGTTGCTGGCGGAATTAGATTTTCGGTCGACTCGGCATTGGTTCGGCATTTCAAGCTCCCTCATCCGCGACCTGCGAGCTCTATACTAGCATGTGTGCTGCGCCCTAGAACGAACGACACACCTCCCTCCATTGTCCACCTATAGTGCCGAGAAGAAGTGAAAATTGTCTTCAACGACATTCGTCGCCTCTTGCCGGTATTGAGGAGAGAACCTGAGCCTGCGATGCCACGGCCGACTTCCAGGCTGTGGCATCCAATGCTGTAAGTCAAGCGAGCCTCCATGTATCTTTCCCCCAAGGTTCGATACAAAGTCTAAACTTTGAATAGGCGACCGAGAAGTGCCATGCGCCTGCACCCGTGTCTATTCCCTCCGGGGACAGTATTGCGACCGATACATAGCCGTGTGCGACGGCGCACCATGTGCACCGCATACAGATGCACAATGACTGGCCAGCCGGCGCCTTACAGCCCTCTGGCCATAGCGATCCGTCCAACGCTTCCAGGCTCGATTGTTAGAGGGCAGAGAGGGAGAAAGGCGTCATCGATCGCAGCGGCCGCGACCGAGAATAGTGTGTCTTCGGAAGGAATAGCATACTTCGAAGAAGGAAGCTAACATGACGTTGCAGCCAACACCGAGGATATTGGTCCCATACAAGAGTACGATAGGCGGGTCATGAATGGTGTGCTCCGAAACGATGAGCATCAGAGAGGTGGGCCGCATTTCGAGTCGATTGTCAGCTGGCGCGCTTGAAGAAATGGGGCTTGTTGAACTCACTTTCCGTCCGTTCGTTTTAGGCATCATTCAAAGCCTCCAGCATCTGCACGAAGAGCTCAAGCATTACTCTGCACCGCCCGTCGTCCATCCGACGCTAGAAGCTGTCAAACCGGCCAAGTCGCTCTTTTCATGGTTTGGCAGTAGCAGCAAAACGCCTATCCGGAAGATCCCAAGCAACCTCCCACGTGGGCTCTACCTGTACGGGGATGTCGGCAGTGGCAAGACAATGCTCATGGATCTGTTCTACGACACGCTTCCCCAATCGGTGCGGTCCAAGACAAGGATACACTTTCACAATTTCATGCAGGATGTACACCGGCGGCTGCACAAAAAGAAGCTGCAATATGGAAGCGATGTCGACTGCGTGCCGTTTGTGGCGGCCGAGATCGCAGAGCAGGGGAATGTCTTATGTTTTGATGAGTTCCAGTGTACCGATGTCGCTGACGCCATGATTCTGCGGCGACTGCTTGAATCACTAATGTCTCATGGTGTGGTGCTGGTGACAACCTCCAACAGGCACCCAGACGAGTTGTACAAAAACGGAATACAACGCGAGTCGTTTATCCCGGCCATCCAGTTGCTCAAAAGCCGCCTGCACGTCATCAATCTCGACTCGACAACCGACTACCGCAAGATTCCGCGTCCGCCGTCAGGCGTCTACCACACTCCCCTCGATGCCCATGCGGCCTCGCATGCCGAAAAGTGGTTCCGCTTTCTGGGCGACCCGGACAGCCCCGAGCCGCATCCGGAGACGCAGAGGGTGTGGGGCCGCGAGATTATTGTGCCGCGTGTCAGCGGCCGCTGCGCGTGGTTTACTTTTGACGAGCTCATTGGCAAGCCGACGAGCGCAGCGGACTACCTGGAACTCATGCGATCGTACGACGCCTTCATTGTGACCGAAGTCCCCGGCATGACGTACCGCCAGCGGGATCTGGCGCGGCGCTTCATCACCTTCATTGACGCCGTGTATGAGTCGCACGCTAAGTTGGTGTTGACAACTGCGGTGCCGTTGCAGGAGTTGTTCATTTCCAAGGCCGAGATCCGCGAGTCGCTCATGAAGGACGGGAAAAGCGGGGAGTTGGCGGATGACAATGCCGTGGAGGATGTCATGAGCCACATGATGGAGAATCTCGACCATAACGTGGAGCAACTGTCCAAGTCGAACCTTTTCACAGGTGATGAGGAAGCCTTTGCGTTTGCGCGCGCTCTCTCGCGTCTGAGCGAGATGGGCAGTAAGCAGTGGGTTGAACGTGGCATGGGTCTTGAGAGCCAGGGTGGCAAGCAGGAGAGGGACAGCTGGTCCAAGACCAGGAGCAAGCAGATGGAGGACAGCATGTAAAGAGGAGCTCATGATACCCACCATGTCCGGTTTCCCTAGCGTGTCATGCATCAGCACGAGCGAGGCGCAACACATATTTTGGGTAGGCATTGTCAGCTTTGAGCTTGGGAACAGCTGGATGCCAGCTTTTGAAGAACTCCTTGCCGTTTTCTTCTGATGTTCCCTTAGTTGCACAGGAGTTGGGACAAGATCCCGAGGGACTCTAATTCCAACCCCTGGTTCGGGCTATATGAGCATCCAGTGGCTTTACCCCAAACACTTTCCTATCATTTCACCCCCATTCCATCCTGTTTCCCCCCAGCCCCTTTCTCAGATCCACCCCTGGATCGATCAATAAATGCCCGGCACCAACAGCCACCTCACCCTCTTCTTATGCCCCTCCCACTGCTCGCCATACCTCTTCTGCATGTACTCATCCATAAACACAACCGAGTCAGTCGCAAAGTGCCACATCTGCCAAACGCCCATGACCAGCCCGAAGGCCAGCCCGCCTGCCGCAAGCGCGTAGCCCGTCCGCCAGAGGGCGTACCCACCGTAGTTGGGGTGCCGCACCCACCCCCACACGCCCGCGTCGCACACCTTGCCCTTGTTGGCCGGGTTTTCCTTGAAGCGCTTGCGCTGGATTTCAGGAAGTGTCTCGAGGGCGATGCCGAGGGTGAACAGTGCCGCGCCGGCGAGCATCGGTGCGGGTAAGGGTAGGCCAAGGGAAGTGGAGAAGCTGGAGAAGGGTGAAGTGGCGGACCAAAGAAAGAGCAGCGCGTTGAGGCTGTTGAAAGCGCCGTTGAAGATGCCCACGGCAGCGGATGCGCCCGGCCCCAGTTCCTCGCGGCCGATGGCCAGGAGCCAGAAGATTTGTTTGAGCGAGGCTGCGGCCGACATGGAGACCAGGACTAGGTTCGGAAGGGGCAGGGGCAGGGTGGTGCCAAAGAGGGTTGCGAGTGGAAGGGCTGAAGATGGGATTGCGGAGAGGTTGAGGCGTGTGAGCAGCGCGGTGCCCCATCCCCCCGGCCGAAGAAGTTGGTACTGGAGGAGGGGCTCGAGACCGCGGAGGCCGACGAAGGTGAGAACGCCGGCGACGTTGGTTTTGTAGGCCCCGCGTCTGATCAGGTCGCCTTTGCTTGGACCTGGACCCGGGGGTGGGTTGTCGTCCGTGGGGGAGGAGGTGGACATGGTGGGTATATAAGTATGCTTCACGTCCAGAAAGGGTTGGTTTTGTTTGCATAAAGGGGACGATACGAAGTACGCCGATCTACCACTGAATCAGGGACCCAATGTGGTATGTGTTCGTCTACATAGACACTAAATGGTGAATCTAACTCCTCTATCCGAAGAACATGGAAAAGGAGTCGAGCAAATTACCAATTCATGAGCTCATGACAGTCCACTGCATCTTGGACCTGAAGCTCGGACGGTGGCTGCACAAGGTCCACCTAACGTCCTAAAGCCGTTCCAGAACAAGCGGGGCTAGATGAGTTTAGGTGACAGCCGTCTGAAGCGGGCCAATTATGGACCCCTGTCCAGCTTATCGGTGCGCTGTCCCTGATTCCGAAACCACCGAGGCTGCCTATACAGGCACTGTTACACAGACGCCAACCTCCCCTAGACCAGCTGACGTATACCGAGCTGAGCTTAGGTTGTTATCTCCGCACGCTGCCCGTTCCCTCTCTTGCAACTTCGGCTCTTGTAACAAATCGTCCGTGATATACTCGGTACATCACTCCCCAACTATTGTCATTCTGTATCAGACACTGCGATGAAGATCTCCAACGCATCGCTGCTCACACTGCTGCTCCCCGCGGCCAGTGCCCGGTTTGTAGAGCCTGGCGAGTCAGATCGCGTGGTCCTGTACCCAAATGGCATCCCCAACGTCCCCAGGAGCACGCAAAAGTTTCACATCGAGCTTGGACCGGGCGAAACAAGATGGGTGACTGAAGACGAGAAGTGGGCGCTTCGCAGGGTGCGTCTCGCCAGACCAATCTCCTACTGTTGACAGGCGATTAGCTGATGTGCGTCTTCACCAGGAGGGCAAGCGATTCTTCGACATCACCGACAACTCCGACCTCGACACCATACGCGCTCGCAGCGGCTCAATCAAGAAATCTGTCTTTCCCGAGAAACCCACTCGGCAAGACGACGTGAAACCGCTGCTTAAGCAGCTGTCCAAGACCGAGCTCGAAGACCACCTCACAACCTTCAGCTCATTCCATACACGATACTACAAGGTAGGCCAGCTGGAATTCAAGCCTGCCAGAGATAACGCTGACTGGCATCAAACAGTCCGACTGGGGACGTCAGTCAAGCGAGTGGCTGCTAGCCCAAGTCCTGGACACCATCAAGACGGCTGGTGCCGAGGACCGCGTGCGTGCCGAGCACTTCAAGCATCCGTGGGGACAGCACAGCATCATCGCCACGATCCCGGGCAAGACCAACTCGACCGTGGTGGTCGGGGCGCACCAGGACTCGATCAACCTGTGGTTGCCGAGCGTGCTGCCTGCGCCAGGTGCTGATGATGACGGCAGCGGCACCGTGACCATCCTGGAGGCGTTCCGTGTCCTCCTGCAGTCCGAGGACATCGTCAAGGGGAAGCATGAGAACACGCTCGAGTTCCATTGGTACAGCGCCGAAGAAGGCGGTCTCCTCGGCAGCCAGGCCATCTTTCACGAGTACGCGAAGCAAGCCCGCGATGTCAAGGCCATGCTGCAGCAGGACATGACGGGCTTTGTGACGTTGACGCTTGAGGCGGGCCTGGCTGAGAGCGTAGGCGTCGTCGTCGATCATGTTGATCCCAACCTGACCGAGTTTATCAAGAAGGTGATTGTCGCGGTATGTTGGATCCCTCGACTCCTTCGTTTTGCTGCGCTGACTTGGCTGTATAGTATTGCGACATCCCTTACATCGAGACCAAATGTGGATACGCCTGCTCAGACCACGCCTCTGCGTCCAAGGCTGGGTATCCTTCGGCGTTCGTTATCGAGGCTCCCTTTGAGTACTCGGATAACCACATTCACAGCTCGGATGATGTGATTAAGTACCTGTCGTTCGACCACATGATCCAGCACGCCCGCTTGACGTTAGCTTTTGCGTATGAGTTGGCGTTTACCGATTTCCCGAAGCTAGAGAAGCAGCAGGGCAACGACATGGGTGATCTCTAGGAGCAGTTGGACAAGTAAATCGGCCGCTAGGAGTTAGGGAGTACGTGCATGTGATGCAACATGGTGCTTAGGGGCGGTTCTTGCGTTCTAGTCCAATAGTTTCTTCATGGGAGTAAATGCACGATCATTGTTTCTGGAACCCAGGCAACTGGGAATAGCTGAGTTGACAGGTCGTGGAAACAACTCTTGGCAGCAGGGCGGTGCAGGAGTCAGGACACGTACCTTGACAGAGCTTCAGTTGTGTGGTTGACAAGTTCACCATGCCGAGACCACTGACGTCACAGTCAAACGAAATCGCAGCTCAACACAACTAGTGCAAGACGAGCGACACAAGCAGCGTGTTGATTCGATGCGAGTCGATCTATATGCCAGTGCGATTCAACGGATTCGAATATTCTTTGATTTCTGGTTTCATCTTCATTTTGTTTCCACGACAGTTTTTCTACTATTTTAATTCCTCCAGCCACAACTGAATCCCGTCTGTTTCCCGCCACCACCAGGTTAGCCACCACGGCGACACAAGTCCAGCCCATTGTCTGACGTTCCCAAGTTTGTTGAAGTACGAAACGGAATTGCAATGTCGACATAACCCTTGGTCTATCATTCGCCTTTCCCTAGTCAGACTTTGGAAATCAATCATTCTTCCAGTGCCGTAGGTCTCTATATGCGGTATGGCGAGGCATCAACAGGCTCAACAGCCCAATGATCAAATCAGCGACCGTCTCATCCGGTTGTGCACCTCGAGCGAAAGTGTGTCATCGCTCCTTGCCAAGGATCCAGATCTGGCACCCGGCGATGCCTGGGAGAAACTTTACGGCGACCGCACTTTGAAGGCGGCTCAGGAGCGTAGGGATACTAACGGCACCATAGAAAGCATATCTGCTCCGCTGGATGAGCTGGAAAAGGCAACACTCTGTGGGAAATGGGGCCCTACGCAGCCGAGTGAGCTGTTCTTGAAGGTATGCCGGATACATCGTTGTGTCAGGGGCAGGATCTGCTAATACATTCCAGATATACCATGATGCTCTCTGTACACTCGAGGACGACCCTTTCCGAGGCATGGTCAGCCCCTCGTTGATGGGCAGCTGCGGAACGGTGCCCCTTACCGTGATTTCAGTGTACGCCCCCTTTTCGCTGTACTGGTTGTGGGCGCTGACTGACACAACGAAAGTATGCCTGACATCGTTCGACATATGTCCAATGTCATTGTTCGAGCCGAACGTGAGGTCTTTCTAGCGACAAACTACTGGCAGAACAGCACCGCCTCCAAATACATTACGAATGCCATCAGGGAGCTAGACCGCCGGGCCGGCTCCAGAGGGACAAAGGTTGTCCTTAAAATTCTGTATGACCGCGGTAGCCCGAGACAACTCATTGAGCCTCATTATATTGTCTCGGAAAGGGAGGCTACTGGCAAGAATGTTAACTTGCCTCACCCTAGCGAGATTCCGAATATCGACATGGAAGTGATGAACTTTCATACGCCGTTGTTGGGCACGTTCCATGCCAAATACATGGTGGTTGACCGGAAAATAGCCCTGTTGCAGAGCAACAATATCCAGGACAACGATAACCTGGAAATGCTGGTCCACTTGGAGGGACCCATTGTTGATTCGATCTACGATATGGCACTGATATCCTGGCACAAACCGATGGTACCGCCGTTGCCAAGCCATGATTGTCCAGCTACTCATGGCGGAGTCTGGCCGTCGGGCAAGGGAACCTTGGGCGCGGACCAGCCGGCCAGAGAACAACCCAGCGACAGGAATCAACAGCCGTCTCAACCTCTTCCGCCACATACCGCAGATGACCCACACTACGACGACGACATCGCGGGCGAAGTGGCCCGGATTCAGGCCTCACTCTCTCCGAAACCGGGAGAAACACACATGGAGGCCGTGACACGGCTGCTCAACCACACCATCAACGAGGGGTTTCCAGGCGACCCCAAAGCGCCCAAGGGGGAGCGGATGACGCCTTACATCACCCACCAAGCGGATACTCTCTACCCGATGGCGCTGGTCAACCGCGCCCCTTACGGCCCGCCCACGCACAGGTCGCTCTGGACGCCACAAAACGCCGCGTGGCTGTCGGCCTTGCGCAACGCTCAAAACAGCGTCCTCATCGTGTCCCCAACGCTCAACGCCAGTCCTCTTATTCCTGCGATCCGTGAGGCGTGTGAGCGTGGGGTGGATGTGTATTGTTATATCTGCCTGAGCTACAACGATGCGGTATGTACTGTCAATATAATCCAACCCCCGTCACAGCCCTGAGTTCCTCTCAACCAAACCCGCCAAAATCGTGTAGGTAGTTGCTAACCTTGAGCACCGCATTACATAACCACAGGGCGAACTCCTTCCCAAACAAGGCGGGCACAACGAAGGCGTCGCAGCGTCACTCCACGCCTCGCTTTCGTCCGACTCGGCGCGCAGCCGGCTGCACTACAAGTGGTACGTGGCCAAGGACCAGACGGTTCCCCTCGTGCAGTCGAAGCGGCTGCGGTCGAGCCACGTCAAGCTCATGATTGTCGACGGGCGTGTCGCGGTGCAGGGGAACGGCAACCAGGACACACAGAGCTGGTTCCACAGCCAGGAGGTTAACCTGTTGGTCGACAGTGAGGAGCTGTGTGCCGAGTGGATGAGCGCGCTTGAGAGGAACCAGAACACTGCGGTCTTTGGTGCGGTGGATAAGGAAGATGGGGTGTGGCGGGATGAGGAGGGGAGGGAGGCTGACGGTGCGGTTGGTGTTGATGTGGGCAGGTTTGCGTGGTTGAAGGGGGCTAAAGGGGCGGTGAAGAGGGTTAGAGGGACTGGTGGGTTTTGAGTTTTGAACTTTGAGGGAAGGGGGAAGGGATTATGGATAGGGCTCAGGTTGGACTAGATAAGATGGGGAATTGGATACTACTAGTACTTATGTGCTCTTATCAAATGGTGGACGATATAATGTTTTATGTACATGGAATTCCAGCTGGCCCATAGACTTCCTTAGCCAATTTAGAAGCAGTATTCCCCCCCAGCTAGGAGAGAAGTAGCCTCTTACTGCAGTGAGTCTAAACAATCTGACAAACGATACCGCCTCGTTGACCGCCATCAATTTCACATCTCTACTCAGAGAGCCTTCCATCCTATCCAGGCCCACTTCGGCTTGTCCAAGCTTCTCCAGGGGCGGATGGACATGGGTTCACCACCAGGCGGAGGCGGGCTGACTCCATCGGTGGCAAAGACGACGTACTGACCGATGACGAGGGCCATGAGGCCCTGTCTGGGGACATTGGGTCCAAGAGTCTGTCACGATAGGTCAGATCAAAGTGTCAATAATGGTGTTGCACTTCCAACCGCACGGGACCTCCCAACTGGCACGGCATGTACTTACACCGAACGAGTACGGCTGTACATCCTTTCCACACGTAAAAGTCAATGGACCCTTGACCGCTCCGCAAGGGCCGGACCCGGGATCCAGGGAAGTGAGGTTGAAATTGTACTCTCTGATCCAGACGCCCTCAAAGGTCCCGCAGAGCGGCTCGTCGACGGTCCACTTCCCCGCGCTGGTGAGGCAGCCGAGGTCCTGGTACGGATCGTTGTTGTACATCATGCGGATTTGGCCCTTGCCCTCGAACCATCTCTTGTCCTGGGCACTGGCGGTGGCTGCGAGGGCGACGGTGATGGTGGCGAGGAGGGATTTGAGGGACAGCATGGTTCAGGTTGCTGGGCTGACTGACACGGTGATTGCTGATGGAGTAAATGTACTCAATGACCAAGTGGTAATTGTAGTCGCGTTGGTGTGGGTGTGTATACTATGTATGAGCCGTAAGAAGAGTGAGAATGGCTAGATGCTTGGGACTTATATAGTGCAATTCGCTGCCGGCTTCACCACACTCGAGGGTTGTACTCGGTAGTATCATCGCTACCTGATTATCCTGGTTCCTCTGCTCGGTTCCCGTCTCCTCGGCCTCCCATGGTGTCTTGGCTTCAAGACCTCATTCCGTAGTTGCTCCGAGTATTCCAAGTTTGGACATATCATTTGGTGACTCGACGTTCAGTTTGTCCGACTCGCCGGGAACTTTCGATGCTTTGTGGTCATTAGTGCGTTCATAGTATTGTTCAGTGTTGGGCGATAGACTAAGGTACACTAAGCGCCCCAACTCCTTCCATCTTCAACAGCAGCCGAGGCCCGACCCAACGCACTTCCCCTGCATTTTGGTCCGTGGCCAATCAAATCTGAAGGGATGCGTACCGTAGTTGGAGGTACATGTAGATTGTAAACCGGGCGATTGAATGAATGAAACAGCAAAGTGATTCCTTGATTGCAGTCCTGGAAGTCTCAGCGTTGTACTTATGCAATCCTTTGGCCTGGTCCCAGCTCGTGGACGGGGGGGACTCGGAGTGTTAGTAGTGTCTTGGTAAGCTGTTACGCTGGGATCTTTAATCTGTTGGCCCTTTTCGATTGGAGATGGAGGCTATTACACTAGATGTCATCCTACATTGCCATTCCAACGGTCCCGTCCCGCCGCACTCCTACATGTAGTTACCTTACCTAGGTACCTAACATAAGGGGAGATGCGTGCTTGGTAAACCAATGGCCCTGGACTATAGAGGTTAAAGGTACCTTACCTCGCCAGTCTCATAGCCCCTACATCCATGTGATTCTACCTCGACTGGAACCCGCGATGTTCGAATAGGGGCCATTCTCCATAACCATCATTTTCCCAAGCTTATTAGCCCTCGGACCACAGGTAAACCAGTGTACGGAGGAGATCACCGTAATGGAAGGTAAGAAGCCATTGAGAATACAATCCACCAATCATGGAATTCGCAGTCTGTGAAGGATTCTTTAGGAGGGATGTTTGCCCCAGGTCGCCAAGGTGGCTCCTTGGGTACATTACCGGCAGATCTAAGTCCATCTCGCGCCACAACGCGTTTTGTGACAGTTCAGGGTTGCAGTAGGCCCAAGGGATGGATTCGGACGGATCGAAAGACGTGGAAACGCCAAAAGACTATCAGGTAGGACGCATAGTACTCCTAAGCGTCGTTTACCAAGCTGTCTAAACTTAAGGTAACCTACAGCATTGAACCATCAGATACTGCTGCATTGAGTCTCTGTAGCTTCGCCTGTCCTCAAACCATCTGGCGCCTGTTGAGCAGAGAAATCATATGATCATTCGGATCTGATCCTTATCAGGGGTGAGTGTTAGCAAAAGCTCTCAGCTCAGCGGCTATCCCCTGAACTAGATGGGTTTTTAGGAGTATTTCTCTCGAACGGAATTGTATTCCTTACTCAAGCGAGAACAGTAGCGTAGTATACAATCAAGGGCAGCAGGTAGTTGTGAAATATCCATACATGAAGAGCTCTGACGCTTCCTGTCGCTAAGCTGGCGACTGACGTGAATCCCCTGGACCCCGCCCCCGGGCTGTCGACCGCCTACCCCTAACGGAATCAAGCCGGAAAAGGAGCGAGGGACGCTCATTCCGAGGTTTTGTCTTTGTCTATATTTTCGTATTCTACCGTGGCACTAAACAAAGCAATCTCACAAAGCCGGACAAACCACACTACTTATGGTACTCAACGACACCCCTTATCCACTCAAACAAAGACAACCGCAGCGGCCGCGGCCAGCAGCATCCCCGCAAGCGGTACACCAGCCAACCTGCCCGCTCCACTGGCAGGCGCGGCAGTCGTGCTCGTGGCAGCGGCACCCGTTTGGGTCACGGTGGCCGCCGTCGTCTGCCCCAAGCCATCACCACCACCTCCACCAGTCACACTGCTAGTAGTAGTAGTAGTAGTAGTAGTCGTCACGGTCTGATTCAGGACAGCACTCGTTGTGACAGTAGCAGTAGCAGTAGCAGTAGTGGTGCTGGCGCTGTAGCTTGCAGAGCCGTCGTCCTCTCTCTGGGCAATCACGCCACCAAAGACCCCCTGCAGCGGGGAGGTGGCGTTGCCTGCGTTGGCCAGCAGGCTTCTGTACGCCGCGAGCGACCGCCGCTGGCCGCTTGGGTTGATGACGGCCACCATGCCGTTCTTGCAGTGCTGCCCGTTGTTCTGCGAGCAGTAGATGGGCAGCGGGTGGGTGTTGGTGACGGTCACGCGGAAGACGAGGGGCTAGGAGGTGCAAAAATGCTGTTAGACCTGAACGGGTGGTTTTGACATAGGGGACTGGAAGGAGGACGAAACTTACATTGGCGGTTGGCGGGTTGGTTCTTGCTGTAGGGAAGTTGAAGCCCGAGAAAAAGCCCCCTTCTTCAGCGGGTGTGCAGGCCTCGTCGAAGTTGCCTGCCACAACGCTGTGGTTCAAGGCGTAGAAACGGAATTCGATTACGTCGTCCTTGTGTGCCCTTATTTCGTTCGGTTCGAAGGTGAGGCCAACTTCACCAACTTTGACCGGAATGGTGATGGCCATGGCGTGCGCGGCGAAGCCGGCTAGAAGAAGGAGCTTGCTTAGTGCAGACATGCAGATTGATACGAGCGAGGGACTGCAAGAATGTGCAGTTTATCTTGGTATGGAAAACAGAGTGAGCTCGGCGTGCGGCTGGTAAGCAGCTATTACTATTTACTAGTATCTTCGCTTGCTTCGTCCACAGGCTCTGAGTTGCTTTGGGAGAATGTCCAGTTCCCTTCCGGGCAAGATCAGGGGCAATGTAGGTCTACTAGGATCGGAAATCCATCGTTTCCCTTTATACTTGGACCATTAAGCATGGAGGACAAGTAGGACATGGGACACTCGGGGAGTTACAATATCTGGTCTATTTTAAGCAAGCGCTTCAGGGACTAAGGGACGAGGTTGGCGCCACGCTGCAAGCATCTATGACGGATAGAAATCGTGGCGCTGAGTCAAAGGAAGTGACTTTAGAGGTGCGTGGTTCTCCCTGCAAGACAAAGGACAAAGGAGGATGGAGCTCCGCCCCTCAAGGCCAAATCTGATTGTTCTTAGCGTTCGTAGTCCATAACTTACACTCAATCCGACTCATGAGCAACTGGAATGCTAAGTTCGATGTTTCTCAAGCTCCGGTGCTCTCTAAGCCGCTGCTCTGAATCTACTCAACGGCATTGCTGGACCTGGACGGAGAACTGACTCTATGGATCGACCTTGAGCGGGTCTTAGATCACTGCTGCCAAGCCATGCCTGTCCAGTTGATCGGGTCAACTCAAAGTGATCAGGCTGTTCCTTGAGTTAAGTTCTTAGCCTGCATCCAAGGTTCCTGCCAATTCGTCTAAAACGGGTTGCAGACACAAGCAAAGCGATCCCAACGCAAGACGAGTCCTCTCTTTAAATGACGACTAGCGTCCGCCTGAAGAAGAAGGGAGACGTGGACGAGGTCAAGAAGGGATGAAGAACGGGAGTATGGGGCAAAAAAGGGGTAAAAGGGGGGGCAAAACACAGAAGAAATGCTGAAGTGCCTAGCAACCAGATGATCGTGAGAAACGCGAAGGATACTAATAATACCATGGCTTCAAGTAATAAGTCTCATCACGGCTTCTACCTCGTATACTAACTAAGTAGCTAGCCATATGCAGCTACAAGTGCATATACCTTACCTGAGTATGTAGGTGAGACTCGAGGGGCGGGAATGAAACTTGCACGCTCCCTCGTTCTCAAGTATTGCATCTCGTAATCCATAAAGAACCATACCGATAACCCATTGTTTATGTCGTCTATGAGCCCAGCCGTAAACCGCAAGCGTAGCAGTCGTGGGTAGGTCACCGGCCAGGATTCCGGGCCCGGGTATAGTCGCTCCAATCACTTACGTCAAGTTACGTCCCGTTTGGTGGAAAAATCAACCGCGATACTACGACGCTGCTCGCTTGCTCACGATTACCCGTGATGAGCCTAGGGATGTGCAGAGGGGCGGGGTCATTAGTAAAGTATTAGGAGTAGTAGTCAGGTAGCCATCAACAACACCATGAGTCCATGACTTCTGCCGATTCAAGTCGGGTATAAGATCAAGGGCAATGTTTGTCGCTGACTTTCAGATCATAACATCTAACCACCATATAACCATAACCATGAATTACCTAGCTCTAGCGGTGAGCGCCATGTTCGCGGCCATACCAGGAGTAGCCGCAAGTTGTTCACCACACTACTACTCGCTCAGCCGTACACCCTCATCGCCAATCTCACAACCTCATGTCCCTCAGTTTGTCAGCTACTCCTTTGAGCCGGCCTTCTGGGTCGAGTTCTTTGGCGAGCCAGACTCGCCCAGGAACCTCACCTTCACTCTCCTGAGCCACCTGTACCAGCGTGGGGCAAGGCCCATAATACGTGCCGGGGGCATTACCATGGACAGCATGGTCTTTGACGCCAATCAAAAAGAATCTGTCGTGCGGACTGAGAATGAGAAAGGTGGGATATACAGGACCACGATCGGACCAGCATTCTATGACGCGTGGAACAACTTCCCCCGCGGCACAACCTTCGTCTCGACGCTCAATTTCGGCAACAACTCGGTTGACATTGCTCGGGGGCTCGCGAATGCTTCGTACACATATCAGCGGGACAAGATCGTCTACTACGAACTGGGCAACGAGCCCACAAACTACCCAACCAGTCGCTGGAACCGCAGCACCCAGGCCTACGTTGCACAATGGCAAGACTTCACCCGGCAAATCGACCTCGCCACGAACGGCACCAGCCATGGGAAATGGTGGGCGTCCAGCGCCACGACCGACGTGACGGGCCTCCACGTCCGCCCCAGCGACCTCATACCCGCGGGGATCAACTCAACAGGCCAAGTCGGGCAGTACTCGATCCACTCGTACGCCTTCGCAACATGCGACCCGGCACGGGAGCGGCGGGCGACCATCAGCAACCTGCTCAACCACACGGACCTGGCGCGGTACGCCGACGACGAGATCTATCCCTCCGCCAAAGCCGCCATGGACTCGGGCGCCGAGTGGGTGATTGGGGAGTTCAACTCGATCGCGTGCAGCGGGAAACCCAACGTGTCGGACACCTTTGCGCAGGCGCTGTGGACCGCCGACGTCGAGCTGCTCTACGCCGTGCGCAACGCCACCAGCGTGCATCTCCACCAGGGCGCTACTTTGGTGTTTCAGTCCGACCAGCAGCTCAACACCCCCGGCGACGACGGCACCCCGGGCTTCAGCAGCTACTCGCTCCTGTACCCCATCGACTCGTCCAAGCGCGGGCCCGCACGTGTGTTGCCAGTCTTTGTGTCGCAGCTGCTGGTGACTGAGGCATTGCTGGAGGGTGGCTCGGAAAGGAAGAGGATCGCGGCGCTGCCGACCCCGCAGGGGCTGGCTCAGAGTGAATTCTCTGCGTATGCCATCTTTGGCGAAGGAGAAGAGTTGGAGAAGCTGGTCATTCTGAACATGAAGCCGTTCTATGCGGGACATGCAAGCCCACCGGGGGTGGTCTACCTTGATATTGGCAAGCACGACGGTGCAGCGGTCAAGCGGATGACTGCACCCTCGGTAGACGAGAAGGACGCAGCCAAGGTGACGTGGGCGGGACAGTCGTTTAGGGACGGATTTGCTGCCGGAGAGCTCCAGGTGGAGGAACTGGGAAGAAATGAGAAGGTATGGATCCGAGACAGTGAAGCAGTTCTCGTTACATTCAATAGGGCTGGCCTTCATTCCCTGAATGGGATGCAGGGAGCAAAAGGTCATTGATTTGCAAAAATATGGTACTTCCATTTACTAGTGCATTCCCACCCAAGTTCAAGTACCATTTTACGTGGGGAAACCGGTTCCGCTCAGACGGTCGCAAACGACTGTGTAGTCCACATTGCCAAGGCTTATACCATCGTACGTAGGGTTCTGGAACTAGAGTGTGGAAATGAAATTTTCATATTGCT